TTTTTAATCCATTTTACTACCTGTCCTCCTCAGCTCCTCAGGAATGTCTAGCCATCTCCAAGCACTTCAGCTGTCCGATAATCACTAGTTGTCTCATGCAAGGGAGAGAAGGCTTCAGCCAGAGGCAAGCTTTACTTTGCGTTTGGGCATTTAATCTAGTGACATTATATTTATGTCATAGTTTTCTGGCACAAATATTATAACAAAGGCCGAGATCCTTACGCTAATCATGGAAGTGGCATGTCATCCATTCACTGAACTAAAACTTGGAAAAAATTGGGATTAGGAATCCTCTGCCTAGGTGGATAAAACATGTATGTCATTTCCCTAAGTCTCCTCAAGAGCAGAAGCTGGAGAATGTGGTCCTTCCTGCAGGACTCGCTGTCCTGGAAGCTCACCTCCTCCTTTGTCATCCATTCGTGTCAAAATATTACCAAAAAGTAGAGTCACCTGCGGATGAAGTAAATCGGCAAGCCGCTGTGAGAGCTCAGCTCTTCACGCTGCTGCTTCCGAAATGAGTCTCACCGGCCTCTCCAGCCAGCCTGAGTCTGATTTAAGCAGCCCTCAGTAGTTGCTAAGAGAGGACCGATCTGAGCAATCTGTGCTTTTTGTGGACATAGGATTTTTCTTGAGTTTGGGTTTGGTTATGGTGTTTTTCCTTTCCTATGTTTTGAGGGGCTTGGTAAGTGGGGCTGGAGTTGGAGGAGGAGCAGGGAATCAGAAGTCCTGCTAAAGAGGGAGGAGGCGATCCCTGTCAGTGTAAGTCATGGGTGCACACATGAACATTTTCACTTCAGGTGCCTTCAATTCAAGCTGAATAAGACAGCTAAAAGTACGGTTTGGCCCCCTACATATCAATAAAAAAGAGCACATTTAAAATCTGTTTTAATGCAGTAAAATAAAAGCTAAATAAGATTTTTTTTTCTGTTTGTCATACCTGCCCTCTGTAATGTCCCAGTAAAGCAGGCAAAAGAAGCTCCTTTAGGGGCTGGCCCCGTGGCGGAGTGGTTAAGTTCGCGCGCTCTGCTGTAGGCGGCCCAGTGTTTCGTTGGTTCGAATCCTGGGCACGGACATGGCACTGCTCATCAAACCACGCTGAGGCAGCGTCCCACATGCCACAACTAGAAGGACCCACGACGAAGAATATACAACTATGTACCGGGGGGCTTTGGGGAGAAAAAGGAAAAAAATAAAATCTTTAAAAAAAAAAAAAAGAAACTCCTCTAAGAGGTCGCCGTGCAGCTCAAGGTCACCTGGCCCGTTTTTGAAAAGAACCCCTGTCAGCCTCAAATAGAGTCCCCTGAATTTGTAACAAAGTGTGAAATAAATGCCACAAGACAAGGCATTCTGAAAGATAGGATACTTTGCCGTTTGGGTGAGCAAACTCTTCTTTATAAGCTTCACTTTATAAGTACCTGTCTTGATTTCAAATATGAAAAATTAATTGTTGCTGCAGCTGTCCAATTATGGACCAATTATGCTGTCCCTCTCTGAGCTAGTGGCCAAGAAGGCATTATAATAAATTAACATTATGTTTAAAGGCCATTGAGGTGAGCAAAGTCCCATCACATTAATATTTAAGTCAGTACCTAAAACTGCAGAACACTTGGCAAGCACTCAGATCCTTAGTCAACTGAATTTTTAGTCCTTTCTCTTTCTCTTTCCTTCACTTGATTATAGTTGGCCACTTTTTAACTGAACCTTTCTTCCCCCCCCGAAATGAACTGCCTGTCATGCTTAGGCCACTGTCCAAGTAGCACCCGTGGAACAGGCTAGCCCTGACTTCTCGCTTCCCGGAAGGACCAATGCCAGCTCCCAGCTTGACTCTCGGGGGTGCTTAAGATGAGAATCCTTACGGCGGGTGAAGATTCTCCTGCCCGCGGTTGTGTTTCCTGGCCTTCTATCTGCTTCGTGTTCATTTTTATCCAGTCTTCTGGGTGTACACCACGTAGACACTTTGTTTTCTTCATTCTGATAGAGTGATGAAGAATGTATATTTAAAATTGAATGAAAACTACATGTTCTGGTGGCATTTCATTACTATTGTTGTTTTATTCCCAACACTGTATTTGTTCAATTGAAGAAGGGAGATGACGATTCCTGAACCCCACGGTGCAGAAAGATTTTCCCAAAAGCGGTAGTATTTGAAGGACTGCTTTTGGAATTTTAATATCAATGTTTTAAATGTAAGGCAGAAATTTGTTCTGCCTCTTTAAGCCCAACTTTAAGGGAACCTCTATAAAATTATTTACAAAAACAATACCAGATTCACTCCAGCAATAAGCACTAAACACTGGGAGGATTATTGATTTTAGTAGTATGTATTTAAAATTATTTTCTGTCTACTGAAAGTATTTGCTTTGCCTCAAAAATGTCTAGTCTGCCTGAGTTTCAGCATCTCTCGTAGAGCCTTCCGTGTGTCCAGCAGTACACACATTCTGATGTATATGTTAGTTCGGCATTGTAAGTAAATTATTTTCTTGCCAGAGATCAACTTAAAATGGAAATATTGTTTTCTTGATTTTTGAGTAAGCAATTATTCATCCATTTATTTCTAAGATTTTGAAACATGCTCCTTACAAATCATTTGCCTTCTATATAAAAATACTCTGTAGACGTTTCTGCTGCTTTAACAGGAATTAAAAACTCTTTATAAAAATCAATTAATTATAATTACCAAAGTCTTAATATTTATTCTTAGTTTTGACTTAGTTAAATAATTTATAGTATTGCCTTTCAGAGAGATGGAAATATAAGGATGACAAATTTCAGGTGAATTCATTACTTAATTACCTGCAATCAGTCAGTGTTTTTACAGCTGATGGGCCTTTGGTAACACCCAAGTTGTTTTATCTTCCAAAAACATTCATTATTTTTATCAGCTATGTTAATGTTCCAGATTTAATTTCATACCTTCAGTTTGTGAAAGTACTTCTCCCAGTATACATTATTGTTTTCTGTGTAATTTTAGGTAATATTACAGTTAGGAGTTGTCGACAATAACTGGTTGGAGCTAACGTCCCTGTTGTGATTTACATAATAGATGGCTCAGCATAGAACTTGTAATTTAAGTAATTCATAAGTTGCATGTCCTTTTGTCACCTCAGTATTATTGCATCTTGTTAGAATAGAGAGCATCAAAGAACTTATTTCATGTTATTTTTAGTCAGAAAATTAATAAATTTTATAATTGAGATCATAATATCTGTATTGCAACCAAATAATTTAAAATCTATGGTTATTTTCATTTTATGCCTTCTGTTCTTCAGTATTTAAAACATTCTCATTTCTATCTGTGAGAAACTGTATATATATGAACATTACAACTGATACGAGTTAGCAATATGACTATCAAGTCTCAAGTGAGGTTATAGGCAGAAGCAAAATGATCGGAATGTGGAGGGCTGGCCCAGTGGCGTAGTGGTTAAGTTTGTGCACTCCACTTCAGCAGCCCAGGGTTCACCAGTTCGGATCCTGGGTGCAGACCTATTCACCACTCATCAAGCCATGCTGTGGCAGCATCCCACGTAGATGAACTAGAATGACTTGCAATTAGGATATACAACTATATACTGGGGCTTTGGGGAGAGAGGGGAAAATAAGAAGGGAAGATTGGCAACAGATGTTAGCTTAGGCGCAGTCTTTCTCACCAAAAATGGTCAGAATGTGGGCTGATTGGGAAAAATGAAGTTTACATATGTAACATAAAGTGTTTTTCTTACAAGAGAGTGGGGAGATCCTTATTGTTGCATGGTCCCATGACAACTTCTGTGCTTCTAGGTATGGATGCCATAACCTTCTGGATTCATTAGGTACCCTTATTTAGTTTCATTTGTACCCTTATCAGGTGCCAGTTCCTGATCAGGATGCTATGGCAACAGGACTGGGCAGAGGAAGAAGGAAGAATTTTTGAAAAACCCTTGCAGTCAGTGTGCCTGTGGGAGCCACCCTTGCTTTTTTCTGTTTTGTTTTGTTTCCGGGAAGATTAGCTCTGAGCTAACATCTGTTGCCAATCCTCCTCCTTTTGCTGAGAAAGATTGGCCCTGAGCTAACATCCATGCCCATCTTCCTCTATTTTATATGTGAGACATCTGCCACGGCATGGCTCCATAAGCAGTGCACGGGTCCATGCCCAGGATCCGAATCCTCAAACCCCAGGCCGCCGAAGCAGAGTGCATGAACCCAACCACTACGCCACCAGGCCAGCCCTGTTCCCATCTTTTAAGGCAAATGCCTCGCCTCTTTCTCAGCTCATGAGATGGTACCTGGGAAATGTCTGAGTTCTCTAGTTATTACTTTATCTGTACCTGTTTAATCTGCCATCTTCTCATTTCTTTGCCCAGATCTGTGCCTTTGATGGTTGGTCAAAGATAAGAATAATTTTTCAGTATATATTTGCAACTTGTAAATTTTTCTCGTAAGAGAATAACGTGCCATAAAATTTCTTTAGGTCGTTACATGTAATACCAGAAGTAAAAAAGCTACTTCTTAAATGTTAGTTTTAAACTCATCTTTTAAACCCTAAAATGTTGCAAATACTGTGAATTTAATCTTCTTTAATGTTTAACGGACTTTCAGTTTTAAGTGAGTGAGGGTCAGGAATGAGAAAATTACAACTTTAAAAAGCTGAACGGGCTGGCCCCGTGGCTGAGCGATTAAGTTCGCACACTCTGCTTCAGTGCCCCAGGGTTTTGCTGGTTCGGATCCTGGGTGAGGACATGGCACCGCTCATCAGGCCATGATGAGATGGCGTCCCACATGCCACAACCAGAGGCACTCACAACTAGAATATACAACTATGTACTGGGGGGCTTTGGGGAGAAGAAGAAGGGAAAAAAAAAAACTAAACAAATTGGATTTAATGTTGTCTCCTTTTCACTTTCTACTAAAAGCCCTGCTGAAGATACATTATCTCAAAATTATTTTGAACTTGAAATTACCATTTTTACTTTCTCTGTTTCGCTTTTACGATGTTGTCTCTCCCTTGGTACCCTTTTCAGTGTCCTCAGGCTGGGGAGAAATGCCTAATGTTCACTCCAAGCCTGAGAGCTCTTGGGGAGAGCCCTCCTCCCCTTCCACCCTGGTTGACAACGGCACGGCAGCGTGGGGCAAGCCGCCCAGCAGTGGCAGCGGTTGGGGGGATCAGCCTGCTGAGCCAGCGGTGACATTCGGAAGAGCCGGGGCTCCCGCTGCCGCCCCAGCCCTGTGCAAACCAGGTGAGCCAGCATTCTGCGTGCCCTGTATTGGCAGTTTAGAAGTGTCAGTATTTTATTTAGAGGGATACTTTTCACTGAATTTTAAGAATTAATTTTTTAGAACACTTTCCTCATTTTATTTTCACTTTAAGACTAACATTAAACCAAGACTATAAAGAAATATTTGCCATGTCTGACACATGAACACAAAGGAGATTTTAATAGAAATTCATGCTCTCCTTTTTTGAAAAAAATTAATACAAGAACCTGAACAATCTAGCATATCGGCTTCACACTATTAGTAGCATCCACTTGTTCAGCAGTATTCTCCTACCTGCCACTTGAAGCAGTCTGAACTTGCTGTCTCACGGAGCAAGCTGGATACAGCATGCTATTTTTCCTTCTTGAGATTAGGTTTTGAAAACATATTACTTCACAGCCGTCTGACACTTCTTGCCTTGCTTTCATCTTGTAAACAAAATTCTGCTTTGAATACTCCAGGTTTTTTTCTTTTTCTTTCTTTTGAAAAAATGAAAGAAAAATTGTGCTGCATTTTCCTCCCATTATCTGAAAGTTTAATACGTACACATATAAAGTATATATTCTCATAAATGTCCAGATCATGTTTAGCAAGTAGAATTCTGTCATTTGTGGGTGTTTTGCAGTATGATGCTTAAGACCTTAGTGTGAGTGTAAGGTTGCTGATTTAGTCTGATGTTAAAGTTAATCGTTCACGTAGCTGCAGAAGTTTCGTATATTCTTTGGACATCATTAAATGTCTTAGATCTGAAAATGCAACTTTATTGGTTTTGTATTTTGTTACTTTGCTAACACTGGATGGTATGCTCTGTATATCCACCATTCTACTGGATTACTTATTCCATTCATACTACTTTTTGTTACAAATCTAAAGGATAAGGGAGCTTCTGGGTATTTAGATTCACTTGCCATTTTGAGGCGATATATTTGTTTTTGTAATTTGTCCTTGGAGGCCCAATTATATGGCTGTCCACCTTGTAAGCAACATATCTTCATCGTCTTAGAGACTCCAGCTAACTGTACTATCACCTAATCTTTGGCCTTCTTCAAGTTCTCCCAGGGAGTGAAAATTTGGGGTAAATTTTACACCAAAAATCACCTTATATTTTAAGAAAGGAGAAAAAATAATATCCTGAAATTGAAACTCAGTATTCAGCTTGTAGCTCTGTCTGCCTAGGGCCTCAGGTGTCTCTATCCTGTTATTCTGGGAGCCTCTCCTAGGAGCTTGTCAGAAACACAGACTCTTGGGCCCAACTGCAGACCTGCCGCGTTTCTCGGGATCCCCAGGGCATGCTGGAGGAGCGCTGGTCCCCATGGCTTATTGTGGCAGGTTGGGATCAAGTGGTGATTAAAAACCACGTGGGGGACAGTGATGTTTTTCAGGACTCTGCATCTTACTGGCCATTTCATACCGTGTAGAGAGTGCCACCTTCTGCTGTAGCCCCCAGGATTTATTTTTAGAATATCCATGCTTCAGAATGATCTATAGTTAGTTAAGGAAGTTTAGAACAGCACCGACTATAACAAATAGCTGGAGTTTCAAGAAAAAATATATACATACATAATTATGTGTCTAGTGGGAGAAATTCAATTCTTAGATCTGAGAGGAAATGAAGTAGTAGAAAGGTAGATTACAGTACACCCCTTTTGTCCTCCCTCCCCCTAAATGACATGGTAGTGCAGCGTTGTCTACTTTACAAATGGTGAATTTGATAGGTTCATGTTCACTCTCTTTCTAGCTTCAAAATCTATGCAAGAAGGCTGGGGCAGTGGTGGGGATGACATGAACCTCGGTACTGGTCAGTGGGAAGAGGAAGAAGGGAGCATGTGGAACAATGCTGCTTCCCAAGAAAGCACCTCCTCCTGCAGTTCCTGGGGGAACGCCTCCAAAAAAGGACTCCAAAAGGTGTGTGTGACGCCAAAGAAAAGCAGCTCTAAGAGTCACTGGTGCTTAAAACCCAGCCAGTTGAACGGTGGTGTCTCCGAGTAATGGTGAGAGACCAAGGTTCTCAGAGTGCTCCAAGGATCCTTGCAGAGGGGGCTCTCTCCTAAGCGTAAGGCAGAGTTTACCAGAGAATACGCGAATCAATGTCATAGCAAACGAATACAGAGACAGACGCGAGAATCACCTGCTTCTGTGAAGCCAGATGGTAAAGAGTTTTGCAAGCATGCATAACAGTGCCACTCTTGCTAAAAATTTTTGTTTTAGAAAATATAGGGGCCAGCCCCGTGGCCGAGTGGTTAAGTTCTCGTGCTCTGCTTCGGCAGCCCAGGGTTCCACCGGTTCAGACCCTGGGCTCAGACATGGCACCACTTGTCAGGCCACATCAAGGCAGCATCCCACATGCCACAACTAGAAGGACCCACAACTGAAAAAAAATACACAACTATATACTGGGGGGATTTGGGGAGAAAAAAGCAAGAAAAAAAAAGATTGGCAATAGTTGTTAGCTCAGGTGCCAATCTTAAAAAAAAGAAAATATAATTATTTTCCATTAAAAAATGTTATTTATGTTAACATATAATGGATTTGTTATTGTTATTTGCAAAGAAATTAATAAATCTTTCTTAATTTCTCAGTTTTAATTTCTAGTACAGTAAATATCAATAGATAGAACCAATATAAACAAAAGTTTTTTGGGATCCTCAGTCTTTAAAAGAGAGTAATGGGGGCCTGAGACCAAAAAGTCTGAGAACTCCTGAGGTAGACCATTAAGTAGTCTTGAAACAAATGGGCAGCCGTCTGGAAAAAATTAAGCGAGATCCATAACTCATGTGCACCAAGACAAACTCCAAGTAGATCATAAATTTAAATGTGAAAAATAAAAATATAAAAATGTTAATTTTTAAAACAATCTTGGAGTGGGAGAGGGCTTTCTAACTATGACCAAAATCTAAAAGCCATAAAATGAAAGACTTATAAACTTCAGTAGATAAGCATAAAAACTACACATGACAGAAAATATCATAATCAAAGTCAAAAGACAAATAACAAACTGGAAGAAGTATTTGTAACTCGTGCCATAGAGAGGGCTGATCTCCCTGATACATTAAAAAAAGTCCTAGAAACTGGTATTTTTAAAAAATTAACCAATAACACAATAGAAAAATGAGCAAAAAAATGATCCATAGAAAAGGAATACAAATAGCTCATAAACCTATGAAAGGATATTCAACTTGACTTATGGAAAGACAATTCAATTTAAAACAATACCAAGAGATGCCGTTTTTCATCTCTCAGAGCAACAGAAATCCATTAAGTTTAATAAGCACGCTCTGTTCGCAAAGCTGTGAGAAAACCAACACTCTCATACGTTGCTGGTAGGACTATAAATTAGGATAACCAAATGGCAGTGTGACGTTATCTATCAAAATTACAGCTGCATCCACACTGTGACACAGCATTGCCACTTGTCATGGGTATAGCAAACGGCATTTGTACACAGTTTTCTATTTTAGCATTTTTGTAGTAAAAAAATGAGAATCGCTTATATGTGCATTCATGGAGTAACTAGTTAAATTATGGCACATTCGTATTATGGAAAGCTAAACAGATTTTTTAAAAGAAGTTCTATACATATTGTATGACGGGATCACCAAAATATGTGATTGAATAAACAGGCAAGGTACAGAAAAATATGTGTAGTACACCACCACTTTGGAGGGGCAGGGGGAACAGAAGAAAAAAATGCGTCATTCCTAATGGCTTCTGTAGAGTTAAAAGATTCTTGGGAAGGATAAACAAGAAACTCCAAAGAGTTTTCCTCTTAGAAAACACAAGAACTAAGTGGATAGGGGATGGTGGGAAGAAGATGCTTTTGTGTATGCCTTTTTTCTACTTTCCGATCGTATGAATGTATTATCTGTTCAAAAATATTTAGTTTAAAAAATTATTCAAATAGCGGTAAGCAGAACCCAGAAGCAAAAACCAGGGCTCTCTTCGTAAGGAGTAGGAGTGATTACAGACCTCAAAAAGAAGTCTTTTTACAATTGGGCTGGCAAATAACCTGGTTAATGATGGGACAAGAAATACCAAATTGGTAAAATATTGTATCTTCTTGGCAAATCTGGCTCTGGTAGCAGAGTGATGATGAAGATGGTCCCCAAATGAGCTGCTTCCTCAAGGAGAGAAGGCCTGTTAGTTTAATATTGGCCCGTAGGCTCTGTTCTGTCGTTATGGCAGGCTCGATTTCGAAAAGCACTATAAGGAATATTTTTAGAGGAGGGTTTTTTACATTGTATTAATGCAATGTTAGTCTTTGTAATTGTAGAACGGGAGGGAACACTGAGAGCAGGGCTCTCGTCTTGCCCCCCAGCCCTTGGTGCCGCACTCCCGCCTCCCTCCTCTGCTCTGCTGCTTTCTTTCTGTAGCTGACCTCTCCTTTCTCCCTCACTGGCACTTTCCCAGTTACTTTTTCTCACCCAAAGGGCTGTAAGCAACAAATACTTAATAAATTAACAGATTTTTTGTTCCTTTCTTCTTGTTGCCTTTTCATTCTGTTGGAATGAACCCCTGTATTTTTTCATTTTTTAGAATAAAGCTTATAAAAGGGCAAAAACCATGTAATTTTTAGTAAACTTCACAAACTTATTAGCATAGGACCATGTTCAAGGGAGCTCTTACTACGATTATTTGATAATGGAAGTAGTACATACTGTGATGAACTAAATTCATTCTCTGGGGAAGGGAAGTAATTATCTTGCTTTTTCAAGTCCATAAATTACACGCATATGCCAACCTACAGATGTCCCCTGAAGCGTTCCGTAGTACTAGGCACCAAGTCCTGTCAAGGACTTGCTGGAGTACAGCACTATTCCACATTAATACAAAAAGGTTCTGTGACCTATAAGTCACCATGAATTCTAAGCCTCTCCCATTTCTAGAAGAAATGCATTAAAATGTGACTCATGGACTTTCCCCCTGCCCACACTTCACTCTAGGGCGTGAAAACGTCTGGCAAGCAGGACGAGGCCTGGATCATGAACCGGCTCATCAGACAACTCACAGACATGGGCTTCCCGGTGACTGCTGTCCTGTTTTACTGCTACCCACCGTGTGTCCTGCGGTGCATGGCCCCGTTGTGTCCTGTCCACGTTATCATGTGTAACGAGGAAGGAAGACTTTTGAGGGATGAGACTGTTGGCATAACCTAACTCGTAAATTCCCCTTTCACCTGGGCACTTCTGTGTAGGGACCATTGCTTTGAACTACAGCAAAGACCCACATCATTTCTATCGGGAAAGATGTGAGAGCCTTTTCCTAGAATAAAAAATGCTGTGTGATTTTTAATTTTCTTTGTTTTATACAGTTTTATATTTTCTTTTAATTCGTAATTAGAAGTAAGTTTTCCTTAGTTTATGCAGTAGATTAACAAAGATTGCAAGAGAAAAATTGGTATAAAGTACTAAAGCTTCGTGTCCAGAGAAAGATCCTGAGCTAAACTTTACTGAGTTTCAATCAGATCTGTTAGGGAGAGTTTGAAATCACAGGGTATTCCTCTGAAAATTTATCACCATCCGTCCAGTTCCTAAGAAGGAATGGCAAGAGGTCCGATAGTGAGGGATATTGCCTATATCTGCCATGTATTCCCTTCAAATGTCTTCTTTCCAAATCCTTATTCAAATGAGTATTTACCTTTTAATTACTGTGGATGTCCCTAAAGAGTGAGTCCAAAATGTTGCCAGTCTAGAGGAGGGAACGCCATATTTCCCATTGGGCGCAGGTCCTCTGACACTGGGCAGGGCGCCTAGCCTGGGTGGGCCAACCTCTTCATGTGTGAAATGATGGCAGGAACCGTGGAGGCCCGTCCGGGAGTCCAGAGTTACACTGTGGTACTGAAACACGGTGCCTCTGCTTGGTTTCAGTGTTCTGATGAGATCAGTCTGTTCCAATCATAGGGATAATTATCAAAAGGAATCTACTTGTTATGTTTTGTTTTGTTTTTACATTTCTTAATGAAAAGTGGTTGGCAGCGGAGCTTAGAGCCCGTGAAGTAGAGAATGCAGCTCTGCGCTCTGACTCTTCCAGTGACTTTGCTGCGGCTGCTGGCGTGAGAGAGCCACACAGAGAGGTGGCTCATTAGCACAGGAGTCTGTCCTGCCTTACTGTCTGCATGTGTCCATGTCTGTGGCTCTGCTCTCCTGGCAGAGATTTCATCCTTGCTGAACCATTGCTGTTCAATGTGGTACAGAAACAATTACAGGATTCTACTGGCATTGTATGTTTTCTTTTTGAAATGTTAAATACAAGTTCTTTACTCTAAAAATCAATTCAATACTTTTCTTATTACAAGACATTTATCTCTAACCTCAACAATGAAGAAAAGTATTTCCAGTTCCAAAACCTAAAAATATTAGGTTGATAATAATCACTTCCCTAAGTTGATAGTGATAAGACTCTTTACAAGGTTTTCTTTTTAGCATGCAATCCTAATGAACACTGTTTCCTCACACAGAGAGAGCCAGCTGAAGAGGCCTTGAAGAGTAATAATATGAACCTTGACCAGGCCATGAGTAAGTAAGATGACACACTTGAAGTACACTTTTTCTAAAGGTACCAGTTTGTGGAGTTTTTATTTCCAGAAGCATTTCATCATAGTCACAGATGAATGGTGGGACACGTGCTGGGGAGTCAGGAGGCCGCGAGCAGGAGGAGCCACACTACGTGCACTAACCACGTAGCAAGTCTCTTGGGGCTGGGGCTCTGGGGACGAACAGCCAAATGCCACAGGGAAGCATGTTTGCTTTTTCCATTTTCTTCCAGTACTTCAACAAATAGATGCATTTTTTCCATCTGTTTTAAGGGGAGGTGATAATGACACTCTTGGAGAAAGGCACTGAGACCACAGGCCAGACTTCGTTCAATACTGACCAGGCACGTTTCTCATGCCTTGCCCTAGAATGGGCTCGTTCAGGGGCCACCAGAAGCATTACACACTGGCTGAGCTTTTACTCTCGTTGAGAGATGAGATTTACTGTCAGAACAAGCTGGAGCTGCTTTCCTAATAATAGTGATATTAAATATGTCCGTGTAAAAGACAGCTGACTCATTGTTCGTGGTACTTAGGTTCTGTGAGGTCACTGCACACACTGGATAGCAAACACTGAGCCGTGGCTCTCGGGGGCATCGGGTGGGGTTCCTGTGAGTCTCTGGCCACAGCATTTTTGTCAACCAGGCAATACGTAACCTTGCTTTATGCATGTTTTTGTTTAAAGACACCTTATTTAATAAATGTTTCTCGCAAATAATCGTACCATATTTCTTTGTAATAAAACTTTAGCTAAGAAGGGTTTAACATTTTCCTGACTGGGGGTAATGTGACCATAAATTTCTTTGGCTTTTAGACTCACACCAATGCTGTCAGCTGTGCCTTTTTTTTTAATGTCATCTCTCAAATCCACAAATTTACCACTTTTCCATCTTTTCCATAACTTCATCACACACTGTAGATGTTACTTCAGCTCTTTGCGAGGATCCTTACGTACAGATCAATGACTTTTCTCTTCCTTTTTCTGGATCTGCCATATTATTGATTCATTAACATTGAACTCGTAGCCAGTACCACCATAACTTGCGCCTGAACAAAGCTTATCTGTGTGTTCTCTCTGTGGGGCACATCCCAGCCTTCCTGCACTCAGAAACACACTAGATAGCACTTCAGCACCATGCTTGGGGACCATTTTAAACACTGTAATCACCAATAAAAAGCACAAAAATGCAAAAAACATGGCACAGACTAGATCACAAGAAGGACACTTGTGTGCCCTGGGAGAGCTGGAGTAAGAAGCAGAGTGTCGTCTGGTTTGAGCTGCACTACGCATGTGCGTGTCGGGCGAGTTGAATTTTTCACTGCCCTGTGGACATCCACAAATGACCACAAAAGTGCCACAATTATTGATTTTGGGGACTGCAAATAAATTTTAGCTAGTAGATGAATTCACAAGTACAGAATCTGCCAGTAATGAGGATCAACTTTATAATCATGTGCACGTGCCAAAATGTATGGTATAAGCTGCCAAGACAGAGAAAAATGTCAGTGTGAGCTGAAGTTCATTCTGACTTCTTAGAATTGTGAAATAGTACAAAGTTGAAGTGAGCTAAACAGATTCTAGTCACTAGACTGAAAGACCATAAGGACAAAAGCTATGTCTGCCTTGCATTGTATTATATCTCCACCGTCTAGAAGAGTCCTTGCAACTAATAAGGACTCAGTAAGTGGAAATCAGTGGCTGGGAGGTGGGACAGAGGAGCTGTTTTAGACAACTAATCAGGGAAGGCCCATCTGAGAAAGTGACCACTGAGGCCTGTGTGAAGAAGGGGGCTGCCTCTCGGGGACAGGATGGCCGAGCCCCTGAGGGGCAGAGGTGGCCAGTGTGGCTGGAGTGGACGAAGCAGGTAGAGAGGAGCAGGAATGGAGGGAGGCCTGAGCAGCGACCGGATCTGTCGAGGCTCAGCCAGAACCGAACCAAGAGCCTCCCTGTTTTCTGGAGGGTTGAGGGTCTTGGATCCTTCCTTAGAGGCTTCAGCTGGTGCCCGTCATGTTCTCAGCAGCATCACTGGTTCCTCGGGCGTTTTAAGTGTGCCTTCTGTGGTTGTGTTCCAGGCGCTCTGCTGGAAAAGAAGGTGGACATGGACAAGCGTGGACTGGGAGTGCCTGACTACAATGGAATGGTCACCAAACCCCTTGGCTGCCGCCCACCAATCTCCAAAGAGTCTTCCGTGGACCGCCCCACCTTTCTTGACAAGGTATGGATTTGGGTGGTTTTTTGTTTGTTTAATAAGAGATGTTTTTCATTTTAACTGTGTCCTTAGCGCAAGCCGGATTAAAACTTGCTGGACTGTAATACTGAAATGACTTCTACCCATTTTTTTCTAGTATATGTAAATGTTTAACATAAAAGAGGTAGTGTTGTATTTCTTATGATGTGACTAGGAGTAAAATATACTGAAATTGAAAACTGATTTTCGTTTTATTGGATGAACTTGGCTGGGTTATCTGCTTCAATTTGTCCAATAGACGAGGGTCATCAAATCTCTGCGTTACTGTCTCATTTTATATACACGGTTCTTCTGATTGGAAATGATGTGTTATATGTTTAATCTCAGAAAAAGGCATTACAGGTGGTTGGGCATTGGCACCTGTGTCTTGCTGGCCCTTGCTTGGATCAGCCACTTCAGAGAACGTGCAGGTGTCTGTGGGGACATCCCCTTGGATGTTTAACAAGTCCCATCACCAGTTCAATCCTTTGAGTATTGTCGTGTATTACTGTCCCCTCTCCAGATTGGTAGAACTCACGGGGGAAAATGGCATTGAATTAAATTCAATCCAAATGTTGAACCTTGAAAATAAAATTAAAGGAAGAAAGGACAAGTTAAAAAAAAAGGAAAAGCTCACAGGAGAAGAGATGAGTTTTCATCTCTGTTCTCAAATAAACAGGGTCCTCCCCCACACGCTCCTCTGCAAGAAGCTGTAGCTGTGGAGCCCGGAGCGGGGCTCACGCCCTTGTGTGGGCAGGCTTTGGATCCAGGATGCCCCGTGAATAACTACGAATAACTTATTCCAAAATATTATTTGTCGTTCGTCTGAAATTCCAGTTTAGCTCCGCATCCGGTATTTTTATTTGCTAAGTGTGGAACCCTGACTTCTTTTCTAATTTTTAAAATGTGGGGTAATGCTACAGGCTTATTATGAAGTTAGATGAGATAAACTTGCAAAAGGCCTGGCACATAGTGTGACCTCAATAAATGTAAAAAGATTTAATAGGATTCTCTCTGTTTTATAACTTACCCTATTATTAGGTTAAACCATATGAAATTGCTATGTTTGTAGGTCAAAAACAGTTGAATGTCAGCAGAATTCAGCCTAATATATACCTCTAGCCTTGTAATAACTTCTCAAAAGGAACCTGTTTATTTGAAAATGGTCATAAAATGTTTTCCAGATAAGACTTTTGCCAATGTTTCTGTCTCTTTCTCCTGACTTCTACCCCTAGGCAGGATCAATAGTGGATGAGAATGTTATAAGCTAATATATATGTTTGTAAAATAATTGTTAAAATGAAAACAGCATCTTAATCCTGTTTCTCTTTTTTCTTTTCCCCCTCTTCCTTTTGCCCATGTTCTCCATTCTCTTATTATCCATGCTTTTTTGATCTTTTAATTCTTTCTTCATTCATCTCCTTGATATGACCTTGGGAAACTGCTTTGTGCTATGTCTGTGGATGGACACCGCACACAGCTCACCCTTTCTTTCTCCAATCAGGATGGCGGCCTAGTGGAAGAGCCCACGACTTCACCATTTTTGCCTTCACCAAGCCTGAAGCTCCCCCTTTCAAACAGTGCACTCCCTAATCAGGCCCTGGGTGGGATTGCCTCAGGGCTGGGCATGCAAAACTTGAATTCCTCTAGACAGGTAAGGCTGTTGGGAGAGCGCCGCCAGGGCCTCTGTTTTATTTGCCTTTAAGAAATATGTTTGAGACATAAACGTTCTTGTTTTTAATTCATGGCTGTATTTTAAAATATGACTGAATATGTGAAGGTAGTTGAAATACTATAAGGATTTCCTGATGTCAAGAGTGGAATCTAGTTCTTGAGATTTAACCGTGTTGTAGGAAATGCTTCAAAATTATATTGATTTTTACACATCGCTAAAACATGTTTGAGCTCACCATCCTTGGTGCCGCCTTATAGCTGGTGTAGATGACACATGTTGCAGAGTAGTCTTCAGTTGCCAAATGCATTCGTAGGTCTAGTTGGTGCTGGCCTCTTTGTCCTGGCCATCGAAACCTTAAATACACTGATCTGCACGAAACACCACATCCTCCCCTTTTTCCCAGACGTAGAGGTGACAGCTCTCGTAAGGTTCTCACTGGTTTCCATAGTCACGTTGGCCTTTCCCTGCCTCTGACACTCTTGGGAAAGGAGAACGTCACTGGCAGACATCACTAAAGGGATGACCTGAGAGTTTTGATTGATCACTGCTTTGTGTCACTTCTCTCCTGTGAATTCTGTAGAATGAAATGCAAGCAAATCACTCTTTTCCCGTCTGTAGAACTTCTCTTCTCACTGATTTTCTCAAAGATGAGGCTGACACACACACAGCTTTGCTACTTCTCTTTAAGTAGATGCTGTGATATTTGGGGTGGCCCCAACAGTCCCTTGTGTGCCTGCTGTGCTGGAGGAACTGTCAGCAGCCCCTGTTCCGCTCTCTGCACCATCCTAGGCTGCATGACCCAGGGGATGTGGCATTGCTAACGCTGGTGGCAGTTCAGTGGAGCGTCTGCATTTCAGACGTTCTGCCTTCTGAAAGCCACCAATGCAGCAGGCAGCGCTGGGAGCGAGCCCCGCAGCAGGGGTTTCTGCTCAGTGCTGTCACTCACCCTGCCCGCCAGACAGGTCATCTAGCTGAGCAGAAAGCACATCTACAATACCTTTATTAGGGGCCGGCCCAGGGGCGCAGCAGTTACATCCACACGCACCGCTTTAGTGGCCTGGGGTTTGCCGGTTGGGATCCCGGGTGTGGACACCCTCTTGGCATGCCATGCTGTGGCAGGCGTCCCACATATAAGTAGAGGAAGATGGGCAGGGATGTTAGCTCAGGGCCAGTCTTCCTCAGCAAAAAGAGGAGGATTGGCAGCATTTGTTAGCTCAAGGCTAATCTTCCTCAAAAAAATAAATAAATAAAATACATTTATTATATTTCACACCAAGTTAATTACCTGAATTTGTCAGTTTATTCAATTCAGGTTTTGTTGTTGAAATAATATTTGTATCTCCTATTTGAAAATTTGGTCATTCTCTCAGATTAGTAATCCCCACTCATTGTTATTCTCTAACTCATCACAGATGTCCTTTTAGAAATGTATGTTATTCAAATAGCTATGCGTGTCTTGGCTGATTTTCCATTATCTATAAACAGTATAAACAGCACATATTAAAAATTCACTTTGGTAAAAGTTGACAGGAAGTAGAAACCATCTTGCATTCATGTTTAGGAAAACATAGCATTGCCCCCTACCTCCAGTGTTCCTGTAGCTCCCGACTTAACGACTCTGTCCCCTTTCCATCACCCTCAGATACCGAGTGGCAATCTGGGTGTATTTGGCAGCAGCGGAGCAGCACAAGCCAGGACCATGCAACAGCCGCCGCAGCCGCCCGTGCAGCCTCTGAACTCCTCCCAGCCCAGTCTCCGTGCTCAAGTGCCTCAGTTTCTATCCCCTCAGGTCAGACCCGCGTCCACGCGTCACTGAGTGAGGCGACACAGAGGCGGGCATTCTGTGGTATCTTGTGCCGCAGCCACGTGACTGTTTTAAAGTGAGAGCAAATTACCCTGCACCCACCAGGAGGCCTCTCCGTGTTAATCTGTCCGTCTGACTCTCCTGCTCCGGGGGGGCGTGTCCTCAGTGCTCCTTGGGGTGCCTCAGCCGGCGAGCTAGGGCTCGGCTGCCACCTGCCAGAAGCACTATTGGGTAGTGTGCTATATGGGTAGAGTGTTAGATGTACCATACACACTACCATTGATGTGATTTTTGTCCTGGTCTTGAGAAAATCTTCAGATGAGCCCAATGAATTGTCCTAGATGGGCGGGAGAGGAAAGTGACAAGCTGAAGTATTGCTTGGGGTGTACCAGAAACCGCTTAGAAGTGACGAAGGATTGAAGAATGCTTTAGTGTCAAACTAAATGTGATCATGTGTCACAGTATATATATTACAGACTTTATAGTTAAGTTTATTATTTAGTATTAGATTATTTTTGCCCATAGATTGTTTAAAAAAAGATCAAGTAGAATTAAGGAAAAGGATATTGTTGCTACAGAAAGCTCTAAAGCATATCAGTTTTTTCGTGTTAGTATTGTTTACTTTTAGAACACTCCGTAATTTTAGACTTTGGACTGAATTTTTAATTACAATGTTATAGTCCTTACCCCTTATAAAGAATATTCAATAATCGATTTTAATGATAAATTATAGAATTAGCTTGAAGTAATTATCACTGTGTAATTGTTTGAACCCAGATTTGTGCACTGAGTTGAGATGGCTGAAACCTGGGTGAATTAAGAGTTAAATCCGTTAGTTAGGATACAGAGTAGACAGCTCTTAACGAAGAGACCCCAGATCCGGTGACTCAGACACAACAGACATCTCCTCTCTGGGGTGACAGTGCAGAGAGCGCAGCTCTGCCACAGCCGGTTCCCAAAGACACAGAGGCCGGCGGGAGTCTGGCCAGCAACCCTTCTGCCGCAGCCAGGGGATTGCACAGACCACTTCCCCTCACGTCCCGCTGCCCACACCCAGGGACACGGCCGCCCCAGCCTGAGGGGCAGAAGGAGAGATGGGGCCTGGGGGACAGGCAGCAGTCTTCCCCACACGCAGCAAAACAGCATGTCCAGAAGGCCAGTCGTCTGTGCGTCCCTCACGTTCTCTGTACCATTCCATGATAGGTGTTCTTTCAGTTGACTTGCCTTCTTAATGTAAATAAATTATTCTTCAAGAAAACTTTTCATATACACCATAAATAGAAAAATCAACATTTTTCTATTACACATTAGACAACTGTTAAAGTAAAAAATGCTCATCCATGTGCTACCTGAAATCATCTTCCATAAATGCTGAGATAAACGTACATAGTACACAGTGGAAACCTTGAACAAGCCAGGCCCGGGGCAGGCCGCTGGCTGGCCCAGAGCAGTGGGTCCCCTTTGAAGAGGTACCCCTGAACGGGGATTGACAGTCCAGGTCAGGGCTGGCAGAGCCCTGCCAGTGCCTGTGCTGCAGGTGCCTGGGCAGTCGTGCCACCAAGAGGAACGTCTGCTCCCACGAGCAGGGGTGACCTCTTCCCAAGCATGTCAGCTTGAGGAGCTACTGCTTGCCCTGGGACCAGACCGTCTGGTGGGGGCTGTGGTGCTGTCCCAGAGCTCCCATGAGGACTGGTCTGAGCAGCCTCCATAAGAGCACGCACCCGCCTCCTTGAAGGCTTGAGCCGAGTGAGGATAACTTCTTCCCTGTGGCCCCTTCACTGTTCCCTGTCCTGAAATTATGCCCACTTATTTTCAATGTGACAGAGCATGAATCAGTTACTGACAGGAGTGACCCAAGGTCACTCCTAGAAAAGAAATTGCAGAGTTAATTCATAACTAAGTTAATTCATAACTAGAAAGTTCATTCATAACTAAAATCTTTGTAGGAAGAAATTTCTTCCTTTCCCTTTCCTTCCTTCCTTATTCTTCACAAAAGCATGTTAACTACTAATGTAAAAGTGTCCACAAATGTTTGAATGGCTTTTGAAGTTCACTCATGAAACATATAATTGTCATTTAATCAGTTTTGCATCTCAAAACTACACGGACAAGTAAATATTTTTAATCGAGATCCGGTGCCTGATGGTCTATGTTTGTCTTGAACAGGTTCAAGCACAGCTTTTGCAGTTTGCAGCAAAAAACATTGGTCTCAACCCTGCACTATTAACCTCGCCAATTAATCCTCAGCATATGACGCTGTTGAACCAGCTCTATCAGCTGCAGCTGGTGAGTGCTTGGATCTGTCGCCTTCCGGGACAAAGGAGCAGTGCCCACCCGCCGGTCACCTAGATGGCCCACTCATGCACGCTGACTGATAAAAGTGCTTACATGACACTTTTCCTCCTGAGAGCGGATGTCATTGAGACTCTCATGAAGTTTTTACACTATTAAAAGAATTAGGAAGTGTTTCACTTAAGGGTGTTTTTCCTAAGCTTTGTAAATTCTTTGGCCCCTTCATGTTCAAAGTCTCCAGATCCTATGATCAGGCATGTCTTTTAGCTTGAGCTCTCCACCAGCCTTTTGCATCCGGAGTTTCTCGGCAGAACCACAGAAGACAAAAAATCATTTGAGTAACTATTTTCTAAATTCTTCCAAGGATAGTATACACAAATACCATTCCTGAAGCATGAGAGAGAAGTTACTTCATTACATGCAGTAGATGCCTTAGAGATTAGGACTTAAATCTCTATCAGAATCCCTGTTGAGAAAGGCTAATATAGCCTAGTAATTCTTGAAAGTTTTATAATTTAATGTATCTTGAATTTTTAATTTTCAACAGTCTGGTTGCTTTTATCCCAAAATGCCATGTTGTTGTATCCCTGGATACCTACTGGATTTATGTGCACTTAAGGACCAAGTGTACTGTTTCTGTCTGTAATGTGTTGACAGTTGATTTAGAAGTCTTGTGCAACAGCTTCATCTCCTGGAAAATGAGCAGGAATCATGAAGGAAGGAAAAAAAGGCCTCCGATAGACAAAACCATTGGTGTCAAATCTTGCCTTCCAGGAGAGTCCTAGGCACTCTCAGTCCTGCCCCTTTGCTGTTGTTAGGCACTCATCGAACCAGTTTGAGTGTCTGGTTTCCCAGTAAGTAGCAGGGTAGGATGGGAGGAGGAAAGTAGCCTGGAGACAAGTAATAGTGCTAATGAAGTGCACGAGCTCTGGACGTGGGCTCAGGGCCATGACGAGACTCTCGAGGCTGTTTCTTCCCCCAGCAAAGGGAGACGGGGCGCCTCGTAGTGCGGCGGTAAGGCTGCCTGAGACCTGACGGCCTGCGGGGGTGGTGCAAGTGTACAGTACTGTTGCTCTCACTACCGACAGCACCAACAAAGACCGCTGGCCTCAGATGGAGAGGAAACAACCTTAAAGCGTATTATGCAGCACTCTTTTTATAGAGGAAAATAGCTTTCTCCCCCTTAAGCATGCTAAGGACATTGCTGTATTCTGACATGATACAAAGCTGATTATCATACTGATGTTCCAGAATCTTTTATTCATACAGTAATTTTTTTATTGACCCCTTTCTTGGTGTGAAAGACACCAAGAAAATGTTAAATTATGTTTAATATGTTCTATTTTAAAAACGAGGTATACTGTTTTTACATTTTTTTCCAGAAATATTGATAAAGTTTTGATGCATCCTAACGTTATGTTTTAGGACCTATAAGGATTCGCTTAAGTGAAGTACTGTACTCCTTCAGAATTTACAGATTAATGAGGCATTTCTTTTTACTTTTTATTAAGATTAGGATCGTTTAAAACGTTGTGAAATTTCCAACCTTGTGTGTACGTTATTGTCAGTCGTGTTGTAGGTGCTCCCCTTCACCCTTAGTGCCCTCCCCCCACCCCTCCTTTCCCCTGGTAACCACTGATCAGTTCTCTCTGTCTACATGTTTAAATTCCTCATATGAGTGGAGTCATACAGAGTTCGTCTTTCTCTGTCTGGCTTATTTCGCTTAACATAATACCCTCAAGGTCCATCCATGTTGTTGTGAATGGGACGATTTTATCCTTTTTTATGGCTGAGTAGTATTCCATTCTATATGTATACCATATCTTCTTTATCCAATCATCAGTTGATGGGCACTTAGGTTGCTTCCATGTCTTGGCTATTGTAAATAATGCTGTGATGAATATAGGGGTGCATGGGACTTTTGGGATTGCTGATTTCAAGTTCTTTGGATAGATACCCAGTAGTGGGATGGCTGGGTCATATGGTATTTCTATTTTTAATTTTTTGAGACATCTCCATACTGTTTTCCATAGTGGCTGCACCACTTTGCATTCCCACCAACAGTGTATGAGGGTTCCTTTTTCTCCACAACCTCTCCAACATTTGTCACTTTTTGTTTTGGTTGTTTTTGCCGTTCTAATAGGTGTAAGGTGATATCTTAGTGTAGTCTTGATTTGCATTTCCCTGATGATTAGTGACGATGAGCATCTTTTCATGTGTCTATTGGCCATCCGTATATCTTCTTTAGAGAAATGTCTGTTCATGTCCCCTGCCCATTTTTTAATCGGATTGTTTGATTTTTTTTGTTGAGCTATGTGAGTTCTTTATATATTATGGAGATTAACCCTTTGTCGGATAAATAACTTGTAAATATTTTTTCCCAACTAGTGGGTTGTTTTTTTGTTTCATTCCTGTTTTCCCTTGCCTTGAAGAAGCTATTTAGTCTGATGAAGTCCCATTTGTTTATTCTTTCTATTGTTTCCCTAACGAGGCATTTCTAATAGTATAATTTCTACCTTTATTTAGATTCTATTTGAATATATCCTCTTGCCAAAGATGTCCCAGAAAATCCATGTTGTAAGACAACAATTTAGAATATTCAATCAACATTTTGAAACAATCAGATGACCAAACCTTCTGCATCTATGTGCTGAAGACTCACGACCCTTTTAGCTGGCTTCGTAGACGGGGGTCTGTGTGACAATAGTGCCACAAGCTGGATGTGAGGCTCCGTGTTGACTGGGATGAGCACGTGGCTCCTGGTGCTTATGAGCCTTTAATATGTATCGTTCTGTGATCATCTGGGGCAGCCGATCACCACTTTTCTGCCACCTTCTTGAGCCATTCTAGACAACTTTCATCTATATCATTTTAAGAATAATTTTTTTTCATTTTACCCTCATTTCTTTTTATTTTTAGTTTGTATGAATCGAGCAGAAGAATTTTGAAAAATATTTGCTGACAAAACTCATTACCAGTACTAAACAGGGGTACTGACTGAGTTACTTGTAAAAATCTATGCACTAGAAGGGTTTGGGAAAGACATTTCTCCTTTTAAAAATGCTTCTTGCCTCACAGTATGCTGAAACCACAGTATGGTAAGGGTACCAAGAGTCTTGCCATTTTCTCTTTTTACTTTTTAACTAATGTTCAGAAGTTGAACCATTTGTTGATGGCTTTCTTGTAATATTTCAATTGTTTTCCTTCTGTCATTAGGCATACCAACGTTTACAAATCCAGCAGCAGATGTTACAGGCCCAGCGTAATGTTTCCGGACCCATGAGACAACAGGAGCAGCAAGTAGGTGTCACCCAGTTGGGTTTTTAGCTGGATTCATTAGCTACAATCTTCCTTGATCTAAGAGATGCTGATCGATGAACTCTGATGTCCTTGATTTTCCTCTCACCCACCCTCCCCTTTTAACAGTCTTGGGGTCACCTAGGTTTGGGAAAAGGTTGGCCCAACCACTGGTGGCCCAGGGGTGAAAATAGTGGAGACTGAATGCACTTGGTCTGCAGACAAGTGATGGGCGTCACTTCTACCTGCTGAAGTGTGTGTCTCCACCGCCAGGTCGCGCGCACAATCACTAACCTGCAGCAGCAGATCCAGCAGCACCAGCGCCAGCTGGCCCAGGCCCTGCTCGTGAAGCCGCCGCCGCCCCCGCCACACCTGTCTCTGCACCCTTCTGCAGGCAAATCGGCCGTGGACAGCTTCCCCCCCCACCCCCAGGCCCCTGGCCTGCCTGACCTGCAGACCAAAGAGCAGCAGCCTTCGCCCAGCACCTTTGCTCCGCACCCTCTCGGTGAGCCTCTGGGCTGAGTGACCACACCAGCTGGGGGGGCTGCCTGGGGTCCACGGGCTACAGCCGGGGCTGCACTGCCGTGGTCGGAATGACTGGCCGGTGCTGAGGCAGCATGTCAGAAATGCTCCAGACAAACTCAGACAGCAGCTATCCCTGGGCTTCTTAGTAAGGGAGCAACAGTAGCTGTCTCCTCCAGACCCAGAGTTTTGCTGCAGCCGTAAGTATTTTCAGTAGAAAATTTTTTGAAATAGCGAGTGAATGCTCCCAAATTCTCTCCTTTCCATGGTTAAGTCTGCAGTCTGTTCCATTCCTGGTTTATTCCTTACTGCTCTTTAGCAGCCACTGTCCACCAGCCTGAACTGCAGGGAAGAATTCGTAATGGTTTTGCCAGTAAAGGTATTCAGATTTATATGAATCAGGCACTTCTTAAAAAGCAATCGTTGTCCACACAACTCTTGTAGTATAGAATGTGGTTTGTATAATCAACCACATCAACATGCATGTACTGGCCCCTAACCTGGAGGGAGCACGGTCAACACTTAAACCCGCAGGTCAGTGGAAGACACGGAGCCACCGGCGAGGTCCTCCAGGGTAGCCGGGAGGGAGAACTGGAGACAGCAGAGCAGAAGCGTCAGAGGGGGAGCATGGCATGTCAGTGCTTGTGCAGAATAATTTGCTGTAAGAATCCAGACAAGCACAAGTTCTTCAGTCTTGTCTGTCAGTTGGCTGTTAGAGTCTGAAGCTACAGGACAAAGGGAATCAGTAACCCGGAAATACATATCCAGAGGGGCAAAGGCCAGGTGAGTGATGGCTCTGTCTACAACACTACCATATGTCTCTGAAAAGTGTGGCATATTCTGATCATCGGAGCACTTTCTATTTGACATGCTACCAATGTGATATGTCGGTATTTATTTATTTATTTACTTATTTATTTTTAAGATTGGCACCTGAGCTAACAACTGTTGCCAATCTTTTTGTTTTCCTTTTTCTCCCCAAATCCCACCAGTGCATAGTTGTATATTTTAGTTGTGGGTCCTTCTAGTTGTGGCAGTAGTATGTCTTTGTGCTAAACTATGATTATTCCGTCCCTTTATTATTGTCCCACCCGTTACTGCCCTTTGTGTTTAAGAAGCGGCATAGGCTAGTAGTTAAGACCTGACTTGGAAATTAGACTGCCTACGTTAGTCTCAACTCCACCACCGACTCGTTCATTGCTTACTTGCACAACTTGCCGAACTGTTCTTTGCCTCCATTTTCCCCATCTGAAGGTGGGAATACTTACTTTATAGGTTCTTTTAAAGATTAAGTGAGTTAATATGCGAAGTTCTTAGGACAGTGTCTAGCATACAGACACTTTGTAAAATGATAGCTATTTATGTAAGCACTTCTTTCTTAGGAATAGTTGTAGAAACAAATTCAGTTCCATCTCCTGTTCTAAAGTGCTGTAGCTTCGGCTTCCTCATATCCAACTGTCCTCTTAATCTGTTGTGGGAGAATAAAATACACTAATCTTTACTCTTAAAGGTTAGTTTTCTTGAGCCAGCCTTAATGGTCTAGTGGTTAAAGTTTGGCACCCTCACTGCTTCGGCGGCCTGGGTTCGCTTCCCTGTCACAGAACCACACCACCGATCTGTCAATTGCCATGCTGTGGCAGCAGCTCACAGGGAAGAACTGGAAGGACTTCCAAGTAGGGTCCACAACCATGCGCTGGGGCTTTGAGGAGGAGGAGCACAAAAGGAGCAAGCTTGGCAATTGATGTTAGCTCAGGGCGAATCTTTCCCTGCCAAAAAAAAAATTCATTTTCTTAATACAAATGAAAGAATTAGTGCAGTGAATCTTCAAAATTGGATGAAAAATAATTTTGATAAAATTTTATAACCTTCACACTAAAATTATAAGATAGATCTATTCAAAATAAATAGCTAATAAAGTATCAGAAACTTCACCTCTAAATTTGCCTGCCTGGTTGGTTCTCAGCATTTCTTCAGCAGCTGTAACTCCATCCACCTTCCTTCTCACACACAGTCTTTCCTTGTCTTCTGGAATTGGTCGTCTCTACGGGAAGATCATGCTTATAAAAACAAAAAAATAACCTTCATAACCAGTGTGATGCAGTGTGATTACAGAGCTATAGAGAAGGGAGAGTTCATATTCACCTCCAGTGGTGAAAGAAACATCAGAGCAGGGTCTAAGCTTGGACCTCAAAGGAGTCGGATTTCAGTAAATAAGGGGGAAGCCTTGCACAGAAGAAAGGGCAGGTTGCAGGGGCAGTCCTGTTGACGGGGGCCCCACCAGTCCAGCTCACCTGTGGAGGGAGTACAGAAACCAGACAGTGAAGTGGGGAGAGATGGTTGAGGCCCAGGGGTGGGATTTGGAGTGCTTTGAAGGCCGGGCTGCAGCCCGACCTCGTTGTCCACTCGCCTGACTAGATCTGTGCAGGTGGAATGAAGATGGCCGTGAAAGCAAACAGGCAGCCCCTTGACAGTATCTGACTTGCAGGGGTATTTTGTGAGGTCTGCAAAGTGTGTGTGTGTGTTAATTGCCAACATTTAAAAATTGGAAATGTTCAAATAAAGGTGGCGTCTGGCTTCTCTTAAAAATGGCTGCATTGACTCTACGTTCCATACAGCGGTCATTGGCTGGCACCAGTAGCACCTGCTTGTTTACACAGGGCAAGCACTGTCCCGTTTGCTACAATCCCCACCAGGCCCACTTCACCTTCTTTACATCACTCGCTTGACCCATACAAGCATTTAAGTTTGCAGCCCCCAATTTAAAGTTAAGAACACAGATGTTCAATACCTTACTTAAGGGTAGAGATTTCCTCTTGCTTGTGTACCAAGATATGTGGTGTGGGAACTGCACTGTTAGAACATGATCTGTAAATATCAGGTTGCACTCTCATTGATTCTGCTCTCCACTCAAGCAGTCTGTCCAGCTCCTAACTGGTGTCCCCATGAGGAACTCTTTCCATCGTCCCCATACCTCTCTTCATTAAACTGGCACAGCAATGGTTCTTGTCAGATACCCCAGGACCTGCTCTTAGCTGTAAGAAATAACCTCAGGATCAGCGCCCCATTCTGGCTGGGGCGAAATGGCAGCACTCAACATAGTACTGAATTGTCCCACCAGCTCGTTCTATAGGGAATACTTGAGAACACTGTTTAGAACTCTGAAAGGATTGTTTTGATCTGGTGAGTTTTACCCTAAGATCGGAAAAGATTTTCCTAATTGTTTGGACTTGTTCTATTCTGTGGGATCTGAGAAGCCACAGGACCATGTTTAGCAATTGAAACAAGTAAAATAAAGCAGAGTCATTAGTCTTAGTTAATCAAAGACTTTGTTAACCATTTTCACCTTAATTCAGAAATAATATTCCTAAAATATGTATTGTTAAGAAGACAGAAAGTTTTTTTCTTGCACCAGCATTAAAAGTTCAAGTACTTGGCTGTGAATTAAGACTTAGATCGATTCTCTACGAGAGCTTTGAAAAGCAGTAATTTAGAGGAAGAGCAGGCATGTCCTAATAGTATTTTCATTTTTAGCTGGACTGAACCCAAACATGAATGTCAACAGCATGGACATGACTGGTGGTTTGTCAGTGAAGGACCCGTCCCAGTCCCAGTCGCGCCTCCCTCAGTGGACACACCCCAGCCCGATGGACAGCGTACCCGGTGCTGCTTCTCCTCTCCTGGATCAGAACCCCAGCAAGCATGGTACACCCGCCAGCATGCTGTGTCTGCTCGCTGCTCACCCAGTTGCATAGCATGCTCATTTGTCACTCATGCTGCATTTCTTTTCTCAAAATTCAGTACTGAAAGCTGAATAAAAAGTTCATTCCATTAGAGAGTACATGAGATCCCAGCTAGTCAGGATCAAACTTCTGGAAACCTCAACTACCAGATCTTAGCTGCAAACCCAGATTCAATTGAAAATGCCACAGAGTAGGAAAGAATATCAGTCATAGCCTGCATACTTTTTATTGTATCTGTATTCTTCAACAAAAATTTGAGTCTACCAAAAAGAAGTTTTTTCAATAAAATGATAAAACATAATAGAAAATCAAATTCCCAGAAAGGAGGAAGAAGCAAAAATGCTAGTAACTATAGGGGAGATCTCACTGCTAAGCATTAAGCTTAGCTCTAACTTTCCTCGTAGCATAAACTGCAAAGGAAATTCAATAGAGCATTTGATTGTCTCGTGATACAAAGTATTCTAAAAAGAAAAAGACAATTCTTCCTAATGGTTAATTCTGCAAGAAAATCACCACATGCTCTCTGGGCACTTTCCTAGGCAGGAGAGAGCTCAGTAGCCTGTGGCTAGTTGGGTTAGTCTGTATGAAGTTAAGGCCTCTGAGTGCACACACCCAGTTTGTCCTTTCATAGACTAGAGGGAGGATGGGACACAGGCAACAGCAAATTCCATCACTAATCACACAGACTCCTAAGTTGGCCCCAGAAAGGCTCGCTGTGCCAGCTTCCTGTGGGATGGGTATGTATTTTATCAAGATTTCCAACTTGACAAACCAAAATGGTTCTTAAAGAGTTTCAGTCTCTCAAGTATAAAGTTTGGGCTAACTGAAATAGACACTTACCTTGGAGAATGCTGGACAAACTGGGTGTGACAGTTTGTGCACCTCTTTTGAAAAGGGCAAGACCTGGCGCCTGGCAGTCAGGGCTCATGGTGCCCCCATTCACTCGGCTCTTTGTTTCCTGCTGTCCTGCAGGTGCTATCCCTGGAGGTCTAGGCATTGGGCCTCCAGCTAAGTCCTCCATTGACGACTCCTATGGGCGGTACGATTTAATCCAGAACAGTGAGTCACCAGCCAGTCCTCCTGTAGCTGTTCCCCATAGCTGGTCGCGTGCCAAATCTGACAGTGATAAAATCTCAAATGGCTCCAGCATCAACTGGCCCCCAGGTAAGAGCGTGAACCACGCCTGTGCAGCAGCAGATCAGAACATGCTCCAGGCCCGAGGAGAGTGCTTAGGCCCGAGAGAAAGCAGGGCCTGAGCTAGGGATCCTGGAAGCATCCCCCGTAGCTTTGGTTTCTTCGTTGAGGTCCGTTTGCCGGGTCAGTTTTGGGTGAGGTCGGCATCAGGTGCTTCTCTGTAGTGCCTTGTTCAGTGGAAGAAGTGCAAGAGAGTGGGGGGCAGGCACTCTTGCCATCCAGGCAGGTAGTTTCTAGGCTTCACCATGCTGTCTGAACGTGGTCTTAATGTGGCAGCTGGAACACCTGGTTCTGGTTTGTTCCAAAAGATTGATGATTTACTGAAAGAAAGTCTAAAATGTGCCTCTTAATTTAATTAGATTATAAAAATTTCCATAAATTATCATGAAGCAATGTGAAGGTACTCTTAATACTCATGTTTTAATTTTCATCTTGTTTGGAATTTTCCAGAATTCCACCCTGGAGTTCCGTGGAAAGGACTTCAGAATATAGATCCTGAGAATGACCCTGACGTCACTCCTGGAAGTGTCCCCACCGGGCCTACCATCAATACTACCATACAGGATGTCAACCGCTACCTCCTCAAGAGTGGAGGTGAGGAGGGGAGCCACTCCTCCTGCGTTTGTGTGGAAGGTCTCTACACGCAGCCAGAGGCATCAGGGTGCCGGTCTGGCTGTGAGGCGGGTGTGGTGTCAGACACACTCAGGGTGCTGTCTCTAGCCATCTGGAGCAGCGTAAGAAAAGGTCCAGCAGTGCTTATGGTGAAAACAGAGATTGATTTGTGAGTCTTTTTGCTGGATTTATTAACGCATCATTTTTTATAAGCATTGTGTTATAAAATCTCAGTATTAACCATTAAGCTTTTTAATGAAAAAGTTTCTACTTGAAATCTCTTTAAACTAAGAATGGATTGATGCTTTACTCATCCATCTCAGTCTGTTTTGCCTTTCCGCAAAAAGTCTGGTAAAAAAGACTGAAATCAGTCCCCAGGACTTTTTTCCTGGCACAAACTCATGATGCTAAATTTTGGCACACCATATGTCGGACTTCAGGACGCAGTAAGAGGAAGTGGTAAGCTGAGCTGTGAGCTTACCGAAAGCACAGAGTTCAAATGCGATATGGAGAAGGGCGGGGACTCGCTCCCCGTTAAGTTATGCAAATGAAGAAGTTCTCTAAGTGCTGCCACTGATGAAGTTTGATCATCACCGTTCTAATAATGTGAAAGAATAGCTAGGTTGCCGTAGATGCTTATCACTAATAAAGTCACTTGAGTAGTTCCCAAAATGTTAATTTAGGTTTCCTACTTAAAATAAGACCTGTGGGAAAGATGCATTTCTTTTTAATGGTTCTTTAAAGTGATAGGATTCTAAGTGTGTCTGTGGTTTGAGTAGAAAGCCCCTGTAATTGCAGATCACCCTTCCTGTTGAATGCCGTGCATTCCTTGTGCTTCCATGCAGATGGTTCTTAGAACGGGGGTGTTGCGGGTGGCCCCGCTGTTGGGCAGATGAGTGGTACAGGGGCCTCAAAGCTGTGGGAAATGGAGCCCCTATGAGATGGCAAGGGGACAGGGAGGCACAAGCAAGAAGAAGGACTCCGCGCTCGCTGCTCGTCACCTTGAGTGTGGCAGCAGGGTTGTACCAGAGCAGGGAACTTTAGTCAGTGAATTTTGAGGATTGTGGAGAAGTGTGAATAAGCTGTGCTCATCCAGGTATTAAAGTCATTGGGAAGAACCCAGGTTGCTTGTAGAGCTGAGCTTCCTGATGGTGCCCAAGGACTTATCCAGTGATCCCTTGGCCTCCGGGTGGCACCTGGGGCATTGTGGGCAGCCTCTGCACTTGCACGAGTGTGCCAGTGTGACAAAGGCGGGCTGGGGGAGGAGGTGAGTCCTCAGGGCAGAGCTAAGCGGCTGTCCTCCAGTGCCAGAGTGCTCGGCAGAGGAGACAGACTTAGAGGCACAAGAGAATCTGAGCGCGGGAGGCCGTTGAGACGAGACAAAACAGACGGGCGCTCCAGCTCTAGGATGAAGGAATCAAACAGCCATCCATCCTGGGCAACTCGAAGCTTTACGTGGCGTCATGTACCATCTAGGGACTTGGCGTTGAGGGGTATGTAGACGCTGAGAGTCTTGGGCAGGTCAGGCTGCTCACACCAGGCTCCTCCTCCATCCCATGCCCGGGAAAACCCTCGCTCCTCCACTCTGGCGCCCCTCGTGTGTGGCTTGTTATTTGAGAGAAGGGGGAGCATAATAAGCATGGCTTTACGTAAAAAGTGTTTACAAAGAAACACCCTACAACATTGCAGTAGAAGTAAACCTCAGAGGCCAGAGCCTCTCTCCAGAGTGAGCTGTGCTGTTCCCTGCCCAGGAGGTCAACCTGCCTCAGGGACCAAGCCACAAAAGGCTGTCATAGTTTTTTGTTTGTTTTGTTTGGATTTGGGTTTTGTTTTTTTGGTGAGGGAGATTGGCCCTGAGCTAACATCTCTGCCAGTCTTTCTCTGTTTTTTGTCTGTGAGATGCTGCCATAGCATGGCTTGAAGAGCAGTGTGTGGTCCTGTACCCGGGATCTGAACCCATGAACCCCGGGCCGCCAAAGCAGAGCGTGCGATCATAACCAGTACATTACCGGGCTTGCCCTCAACGTTTTGAGTGACCAGGCTGATCTAAAATACAGAGAGAGAAAAATTACGAAAATGTGTCCTGGAAGGAAAACAGAAGTAGCCCTCTGGGCTTATATATTTTATAGATTTTCATGATGGAATTTTCTCTTTTGTTGAGTATACTAGGTGTTGTTTTTTTAATTTACATTTTTGTTTTTTATTTATTGCCTTTGGTATTCAGTTCTGATTGATATTAAAGATTTGCCTTAGCCCAGTGTTTGTTTGATGTTATTTATAGCTTTAACCCTTGTTAAGTGAGTATTAACCAGAATGGGGAGTGCAGTCATGCCCTTTCATCCCTAGTGATGCTAACACTTCCTCTGGAAAGGAAAGCCAACCATGATTTTAGGGGATAAATTCCAGTATTAAAACTGAAACTTCCAAAACTAGAACACTGTTAAAATCTAAGTACCCTATTGTTAATTATGAAAGAAATCCACATAGAGTTAAATAGTCTGTAGCCTTGGGATCCTAGGTTGATTGCATTTTGTTGGTAAATGAAAGAAGAGGGTTTAGGAAGAAAGCTTAAGGTGTTCGTAGCTTTTAAAATTGAAGACCAGATTACAAATAAATTTTCATGTTCATCAACTCTGGTGTCCTCAGGGCACTGCAAACAGCTGTGCAGGTTGTATACTGCGCAAGTCTGGGAGGTGCACACACCTGGTAGTCCCGGTGAAGGATGCCCCTGAGGTTGTTCAGTGCACCTCACCAGGTGGGGCCTTATGTGGGCTGGGTCCCATGTCTTTGGAGATTCTGTTTATGGTGGTAAACTTGACAGCCAGTGTTAGGTGTTGTGTCCTCTCCCCCAGCCAGCTTCTACACCCTGGCAGAGTCATTTTCCAAGTCACAGAGCTCTGATTCCATCCTGCTTTCACCCGAACTGTCGCCACTGCTTCATCATCTCCTTCTGTGGGCTCTTGCTTTCCTCAGAGAGTTGTGAGGGAGAGAGACGCGAAAACACACCAGTTAGCAGGAGCTGAGCTTTCTGGAGGAGCGGGGGAGCCTTAAGGACGGCCACACACCCTCCGCCTCCCTCCTGGGTGCAGGAACCGAGGCATTTTCAAAGTCAGAAGCTGCAGTTCTGGAGATGGAGGAAGTCACATTCACACAGTTGTTAGGCAGATCCTGTCATCCTTCCTGCACTGCAGGAGAGAAATGCGTGCGGGAGGTAATGGGATGCCTGAGACATCGTGAGTCAGAAAAAAGTGCGGATATTTTTATGGGAAAATTTATAACAAAAAGCTTAGCGTTTTGTTTTGTATTTTCAATTTTGTGGGTATTATTTGAAGTGTGAAAAGATGGAGATTGCCCTGTATTTTTATTTTCATCTCATTTGGAAGGGGAATTCACTGTGATCTTTTCAAACTCTGGCGTGGCGTTTTGAACATCCTGGTGGTGATTCTCTTCTCTCGTGCCTTGAGCCCGTGTCCCAGAGAAGTTGATGCCATGTCCTCATCTCTGCTTCTCGGCCTCAGGCCTCTCCAGGTGGCGTGGCTCCCCAGGGGAGGAGGGCTGCGTGTCTCTTCCCTCCTTCGCTGTGCTCTTGATCATGTCACACCTTCCTTTTCAGCCAGCTCCAGACACGGCAGTGTGGGAGGAGATTTGTCTTTGGTTGTTAGAAGCCTCCCACCCTAGTTAGATGGCTGCCCCAGTGCGCCCGCGCCCACCTTCTTAGTGCCTGTTTGGTTCTGCAGGGTCCTCCCCACCATCATCTCAGAATGCCACACTGCCTTCCTCGAGTGCCTGGCCGCTCAGTGCCTCTGGCTTCAGTCGCTCTTTCAGCATTGCGCCCGCTCCTAGTGTTGCAGGTATGCAACTGGCTTCTCGACGTGCAGGTAGCCTTTTCTTTCTTTCCCCGAACAAAACTGACAGGCCCGGCTTTTCTTGATGGTCTCTCTGTTTTCTCCCTGAATCGGGAGGCCATGGGGTTTGATGGAGAGTGGGCCTGAGCTCTGCCGGAACCGCTTCAGGACGTAAGGCACAGCTGCCTCCTCCCGTGTGAAGTGGGAATGCTGTCCTTCCGTGGGGTTGTCCTGAAGATCACGTGATTATGTAACTGCCCGGCGCAGGACATGACGTAGCTCTGCCTAAATGGATCTGCTTTCCTCTCTCCTCCCTTCCCGCCGTGGCTACAAGACAAGGGTGTACAAGGGCTTAAACCCTGGAGGTGGCAGCTGCTTGGAGTTTGCTGCTACTTGAGTTCACCATCAGGGATGAAGGGGACCACAGCAGGCCCCGTAACTAACTCCCAGCACCCAGCGTGTGACTGCGTTCCATTACACAGATAAATGCCGTGCCTGGATTATTTCTCTATTGCCGTAGACATTGTGACTCTCTTGAGTAAAAAATTTCTTTTAGGGGCCCGCCCAGTGGCACAGCAGTTAAGTGCACACATTCTGCTTTGGCAGCCTGGGGTTCACCAGTTTAGATCAAGGGCACGGACATGGCACTGCTTGGCACGCCATGCTGTGGCAGGCGTCCCACATATAAAGTAGAGGAAGATGGGCACGGATGTTAGCTCAGGGCCAGTCTTCCTCAGCAAAAAGAGGAGGAGTGACAGAAGATGTTAGCTCAGGGCTAAACTTCCTCCAAAAAAAAAAAAAAGAAATTTCCTTTAGGCTTAGAGGAGAATTGAGAATTCTTTGTCGTAAAAACTTCGGAGGAATTTGAATCTAAAAATTTTAAGACAAGGATATAAAGAGATGTGGACACAACGCAAACAAAATGGGTAGCAGGTTTGTAAATAGAGAACTTAAATAAGGAGAGTTTATTGTTTACAAATTTCTTCAAATGTATTCCTGTATTCCATCAAACCTTCTCATCCAGACTTTTTTAAACCAGTGTAAGAATGCTATAGGAATTCTTTGAATACCAGTACATAGGGAAGAAAGTAGTTTTGATGTAGTTTAGCATCTTATTAAAAAGAGAGAGTGCGTCTGCAGTATTTTTATTCTTTCTGATGTTTACAGAGGGGATAATTAGACCTTTAATGCTTCCATACTCATTGAGCTAAAGAGAAGGGGCAAAACACCATTGTCTTTCCTGCATCGAAGGCAGTTTTCAGGGCATTTTTGTTTTTCTGATCAGTGACACCTTGGCTCAGACGAGCGTTTGTTTGTTGTGAAGGCATAGTGGGCTCTGGTGGCCAGGGCTGGAGGGGGACTTGGTGGCGGGGTTTGGGTTGGCCTGGTCACTGTGGTGCTGTCCAAGGAGGGGGCATGGCTGGCTCCAGGTGTCTGCACATCCAAGCCGAGCCCTGGGCACAGGATGGCGTGGGGCTGCTGGTCATTACCAGTTTTGTTTTTTCTCTCAAAGAGCCTTAAAACAAGCTCCCCTCAACCACTGCGCCAAGGTGCCCAGGTGCCAAGCCGCTCAGCCCTCAGGGCGGCAGGGCCACACAGCGTCTAGAGTGTGCTCGGAGGGCGGGCCTCAGAGCTGCGCAGGAGAACGGTGGTAGCCATGGGTCTGGGCGGGCTGTGTCTGAAGGGGCATTGCTTTGAAAAGGGACCGATACCTAAAGAAATAGCATCAAAGACGTATACACATTAGGCTTTTGACCTTGATTAATTTGTTGTAAGATGTGTCCCAGTAGAATATGTTCATAAGTTAGCTTAACGTTGAACTATAGAAATGCTGTTTTCTTGGTGGCAAACTTGTGTGTGGCACATTTAGCAAATTGATTAAGTATCAGAAATACTGGCAAGGTGTATACTGGCCCCAGTCAGACTGTCTCTGGGCAGAAATTCAAGAGGGCGCTTGCCCGTGGTTCCAGTAGGGGGCGCTTTGCCTGGTGTTTCTTTTCATCATGCAGTCTCCTGGAGCCGGAGAGCACTTTGCATGGTTCCCCACACTGCACTGACTTTTCTTCTTTGTCTCAAGAACGCCTGTGCTCCATTTCTCTTCCTTCCCAGGTAAACTTTCGGACATTAAATCAACGTGGTCCTCTGGCCCCGCCTCCCACACGCAAGCCTCTCTGTCTCATGAACTGTGGAAGGTGCCCAGAAACACTGCTGCACCCACAAGGCCACCTCCAGGGTTAACCACCCCCAAGCCTTCCTCCACCTGGGGAGCCAGTCCCCTTGGCTGGACCAGCTCTTACTCCTCGGGTATGCACCAGTTCTCGTGTTCAGATGGGGTGGGTTGGCGGGGGTGGGGCTTCCTGCCAGCTCTGCTTACCTGTAGGGAATATGCCTATCGTTTTGTCCTGCAGCTCCTTTGTAAGGACTCCTGGACCCTAGGAGAGCTTAGAAGGGGGCCAAGGCGCCCTAGCGTCTCAGGGCGTTGGCTGCCCAGCACTCCAGCTGCCAGTGTTCTCAGCATCAACCCCAGGTGATGAGGCACACAGCAGTTTTGCTTGGGCCAGGAGGTCCCCAATGCTCCCAGCCCGCATTGAGGGGCCATGCTGGGTCCTTGGAGAAGGCCCATTCAGTCAGCACGAGAGTCTCCATTTCTACTTTGCTGTTTGCTTCTCCACAACATTTTGCTGGAGCATAGGGCTTTCCAGGCCCAAAGAAAACAAACCCACACGCGTGAGAGCACTGCCGCCGTGATGCTGCAGCGCATGGGCTTCTGTCACTGCCCTGTCCTGAACTGTAGGGAGGAAAGAAGCACACCAGGAATTTAAGAAAGTGCCACTGAAACCAGCTGCAGGTGGCTTGAAAATAGCTGTTTCAGCCTTTTAATAGCAGCCCTCTGGGTCTGCTTTGTTTTATTAACAAGTAGAATTTTAGAGCGTTGATTCTAAATGGGGCAGGGTCGGGGGATGGCAGAGGAGGAGACCAGAACTTCTGGCAGCGGCTCTGCGGGGATTGTGAGGTTTTGGGTTATCCAACCAAAAAGAGCAAATGGGTTTTCAGAGGTGGAGAAAGGCTCGGAGCGCACGGTGACGGTGCACACCGCCGGCTGCGCTGCCGGATGCGAAGCTGTGGGAAGAGAGCTAGCTGTCTGCTGTGCGCGGCCTTGCTGACTGAGTTCTTCCCGGGCCCGTGCAGGTTCTGCTTGGAGCACTGACACCTCAGGAAGAACAAGCAGCTGGCTCGTTCTCCGCAACCTCACGCCCCAGGTACAGGCAGCAGCACAGCCCGAGAGTCCCTGAGCTCGAGGGCCTCGTCAGCGACCCAGAGGGCCAGCCACCCGCGCGCGGTGCACGCTGGTCTCCCTGCCGGGTGCCCTCAGTCAGGGCCCAAAGGAAAGGCAGGCAGCCTCGAGCCAGCGCCAGGGCTCCTTTAACTGTGTTCCTGGTGAATTGTTTACTTTTCCCTCTTTTGAGGCTTAAAAGTAGACCTTTGTAAACAGAACTGCTCATCTGTAACTGTTGCCACTCGTGAGTGGTCTGGCCTGTGCTTGCCTTTCCCAGGCTCAGGGGCCGCAAGGCTGCGGGACCCACAGGCTCTGCGTGACATGCCGTGGTGAGAGGGGGTCAGAGAAAAGGGGTGTTCTCCTTCTGATGAGCTTAATTCATGAGATACAATAGAGGTGTCCAAGATTAAAACGTACATGGTAAATTACGAGCTATGAACAGTTTCTATCATGAAGTCGTATGCGTTAAGCCCTCTCGAGGGCGTTTTCCCAGTGTTTGGTGCGCCTGGATTTCATAGATGTTTTCTTTGAAGAATGTAGTGGAAGAAGTCCCAGGAAGCGCGTTACCGCCCCCTCTGCTTCCTCAATCAGATCGATGGTTCGACGCTGCGGACGCTGTGTTTGCAGCACGGCCCTCTCATCACGTTCCACCTGAACCTGACTCAAGGCAACGCTGTGGTCCGGTACAGCTCCAAGGAGGAAGCCGCCAAGGCCCAGAAGTCCCTGCACATGTACGTCTCCTCTCTGCCGCTGGGCTGCCTGTGGCTGCGCCGTGGCGGCGCTGGGTTTGGGTGTTGTAGGAGTGTCCTGGGGCTACTGCGACAAAGCACTGCAGGCACAGACGTTGACTGTCTCACAATTCTGGAGGCTGCAAGTCTGAGACCAAGGTGTCAGCAGGGTTGGTGCCTTCCGAGGCTTCTCTCCTTGGCTTGCAGACAGCTGCCCTCTCCCTGTGTCCTCACATGGTCATCTCTCAGTCTAAGTGTGTGTGTGTCCTAATGTCCTCTTCTCATAAGGACACCAGCCACAGTGGCTTAGGGCCACCCGTATGACCTCCTTTTAACTCAGTTACGTCTTTAAAGTCCCTCTCCAAACATGGGCACAAGTGAGCTATTGGGGGCTAGGGCTTCAACATAGGGATTTGGGGGGGACACAGTTCACCCCATAGCAAGTGTCTTGTGACACATTGGTTTCTTCTGCTGCTGAGTTGCCATGGCCATGCCCTCCAGCAGGGAGAGGCCCCCCAAGAGAGTACACGTAGAGCCCAGGGATGGAAGAAGACCCTCCACGAGGTAACACCGGGCATGTGACCTGTTCATGCCCACTGCTGGGCCTAGCAGGGGTCCTTCTAGGCGCTCTTCTCCCCTGATTAAAGGACGCTTTTGATAAGATGTGTGAGTAGACCTACTCAGCGACATCACTTGGGATGTGGGACCTAGAAATTAGTCATTCCTGGTTTTAGTCCAGGATGTAAATTACAGTGATCCTAAATGATACCCAAGTTAAATGGTGCATTCACATGCTTCCTTAAGAATGTCCTGTCTCCACCTACACAGTGTGGCTGCTAGAATCTAAAATGAGAAAAAAGTTCGTCATCTAGACTCAGATGTGGCAGTGGCAAAACCAGAACCACAGGGTTATTCCCAGGTGGCCCGGGCATGAACCTTCGGCTGCGCTTTGCTCATTAAAACAGAGAGCTAGTGAGGCCAACACAGGAAAACGCCAGTCTGCTCCACTCACATGACCCCTGTCCTGCTCTCTTGTTTGTTTTGAGGGGGTTTTTTTTGGAGATGTAATTGACATACAACATTGGGTCAGTTTAATGTGTACATGTTGATTTAATACATTTATATATTGCGGCGTGATTACCACCACAGCATTAGCTAACTCCTCCATCAGGGCACGGAATTATCATTTCTTTTTTGTGTTGAAAACATTTAAGGTCTCCCCTTAGCAACTTTGAAATATTTAATGCAGTGTTGTTAACTCTAGTCACCACGGTGCACGTTAGCTCCCCACAACTTACTCGTCTTAGCACCAGAAGTTTGTGTGCCCTTTGCCAGCCATCTCCCCATCTCCCCCCCAAGTCCCTGGAAACCACCATTCTACTCTGTCTCTACAAGCTTGGCTTTTAGGTTCCACATATAAGTGAGGTCACACAGTGTTTATCTTGCTCGGTTTGACTTATCTCACTTAGCCGGAGGCCCTCAAGATTTATCCATCTCGCCACAAATGGCAGGAGATCCTTCTCTCTCATGGCTGAAAGTATTCCTCTGTGTGTGTGTGTCCCCATCCCCCCTCCTCTCTCTCCATATATATACATCACGTTTTCTTTATTTACAGTCAGCTGTTAACAGACCCTTGGGTTGTTTCTGTCTCTTGGCTATCGTGAATAATGCTGCAGTACACACGGGAGTGCAGCCATCTTTTTGAGATCCTATTTTCATTTCCTTTGAATAAATACCCAGAAGTAGGCTTGCTGGACCATATGGTAGTTCTATTTTTAACTTTTTGAGGAACCTCCACACTGTTTTCCATAGTGGCTGAACTAATTTACAGGCCCACCCACAGTGCACGAGGGTTCCCTTTCTCCACATCATCACCACCGCTGGCCATCTCTTGTCTTCTCGGTGACAGCCATTCTAACAGGTGTGAGGTGATACCACATTGTGGTTTTGATTTGCATTTCCCTGATAATTAGTGACACTGAGCATTTTCATGGACCTGTTGGCCATCTGTATGTCTTCTTTGGAAGAATGTCTATTCAGCTCTTCTGCCCATTTTGTAATCAGATTGTTTGGTTTTTCATTATTGAGTTTATATGAGTTCTCTCTATATTTTGGATACTAACCCCTTATCGGATAGCTGATTTACAAATGTTTTTCATATTCCATAGGTTGCGTTTTCATTTTGTTGATGGTTTCCTTTGCTGTGCAGAAGCTTTCTAGTTTGATGTAGTCCCACTTATTGATTTTTGCTCTTGTTGCTTGTGGTGTTGTATCCAAAAGTTCATTGCAAAAGCCAAGGTCAAGGAGCTTTTTCCCTGTGTTTTCTTGTAGAAGTTTTACAGTTTCAGGTCTTGTGTTTGTCTTTAATCCATTTTAAGTTATTTTTTGTGAGTGGTATGAAATAGGGGTCCACTTTCATTTTTCTGCCTGTGAATATCCAGTTTTCCCAGTACCACTTATTGAAGAAGCTATCCTTTCCTCACTGAGTGTTCTTGGCCCCTTGTGAAATAGTGGCCTTTGTATGTGGGGGGATCTGTTTCTGGGCTCTCTATTCTGTTCCACTGGTCTATGTGTCTGTCTTTATGCCAGCACCATACTGCTTTAATTACTGTAGCTTTGTAATGTAGTTTGAAATCAGGAAGTGTGATGCCTCCAGCTTTGTTCTTCTTCCTCAGGATTGCATTGGCTATTCAGAGTCTTCTGGTGCCATACAAATTTTAGGATTGTTTTTACTATTTCTGTGAAGAATGCCATTGGAATGTTGATAGGGATTACATTGAATCTATAGATAGCTTTGGGTTTTATGGACATTTTAACAATATTAATTCTTCCAATCCATGAACACAGGTATCTTTCCATTTGTATTTTCAATTTCTTTCATCAAAGTTTTATGGTTTTCATCATACAGATCTTTCATTTCCTTGGTTAAATTTGTTTCTGAGTATTTTATTGTTTTTTATGCCACTGTGAATGGGATTTTTTATTTATTTCTTTTTAGATATTTCATTATCATTGTATAGAAACACACCTGTTTTCTGCATGTTGATTTTCGATCGTGCAACTTTACTGAAGTTATTGATTAGTTCCACCAGTTTTTGGTGGAGCCTTTAGGATTTTCTCTGTATAAGATCATGTCATCTATAGATAATGACAGTTTTACTTCTTCCGTTCTGATTTGGATGCCTTTTGTTTCTTTATCTTGCCTGATCATTCTGGCTAAGACTTCCAGTCATATGTTGAATAGAAATGACAAGAGTGGGCACCCTTGTCTTATTCCTGATCTCAGAGGAAAAGCTTTCAACCTCTCACCATTGGTGATCATGTTAGCTGTGTTTGTCAAATATGGCCTTTATTATGTTGAGACCTGTTCCTTCTGTACACTATTCATTGAGGGTCTTTATCATGAAAGGTTGTTGTGTTTGGTCAGATGCTATTCCTGCATCTATTGAGGTGCTCTTTGATTTCGATCTGTCACTCTCTCAATGTGGTGCATCACATTGATTGATTTCCGTCTGTGGAACCATCCCTGCGTCCCGGGATGAGTCCCACGTAATCATGGTGTGTGGTCATTTTAATGTGCTCTTGATTCAGTTTGCTAATATTTTGTTGAGGATTTTTGCATCTGTATTCATCAGGGATATTGTTGTGTGGTTTTCCTGTATGTCCTTATCTGGCTTTGGTATCAGGATAATACTGGCCTCAGAAAATGAGTTTGGGAGTGTTCCCTCCTCTTCAGTTTTTTTGGGAAGAGTGTGAGAAGGGCTGGTGTTAGTTCTTCTTTAAACGTTTGGTGGAACTCACCAGGGATGCCATCTGATCCTGGGCTTTTCTGTGTTGGGAGGTTTTGATTACTGATTCAGCCTCCTGACTCATTATTGCTCTGTGCAGGTTTTCTCTTTCTTCTGATTCAGTCTTGGTAAGTCATTTTTCTAGGAATTTGTCCGTTTCTTCTAGGTTATCCAGTATCCTGGCATATAGCTGTTTGTAGCAGGCTCTTACGATCCTGTGTACTTCTGTGGTGTCAGTTGTGATGTCTCCTCTTTCATTTATGATTTTATTTATTTGAGTCTTCTCTCTTTTTTCTTAGCTAATCTAGGTAAAGGTTTGTCAATTTTGTTTATCTTTTTTATTTTAACATTTTATTTTTATTTTTCCTTTTTCTCCCCAATGTCCCCTGGTACATAGTTGCATATTTTTAGTTGTACGTCCTTCTAGTCGTGGCATGTGGGACACGGCCTCAGCATGGCTTGATGAGAGGTGCCATGTCTGCGCCCAGGATCCGAACCAGCAAAACCCTGGGCTGCCGTAGTGGAGCACGCAAACTTAACCACTCGGCCATAGTCAGTACCCCCTATTTATCTTTTTAAAAAACCAGCTCTTAGTTTTGTTGCTGTGCTCCTCTTTTAGGTGTGTTCTGGGAAACACTACCATCTTGGCCGAGTTCGCTGGCGAAGAAGAAGTGAATCGTTTCTTAGCCCAAGGCCAAGCGCTGCCGCCCACCTCCAGCTGGCAGTCCAGCACTGGCACCAGCCAGACACGGCTGGGCGCCTCGGGCAGCTCCCATGGCCTGGTGCGGAGCGACGCTGGCCACTGGAACGCCCCGTGCCTGGCAGGCAAAGGGAGCAGTGACCTGCTGTGGGGTGGGGTTCCACAGTACTCAAGCAGCCTGTGGGGCCCACCCAGCAGCGACGACGGCAGGGTGATAGGAAGCCCCACCCCGCTGAACACTCTGCTTCCCGGCGACCTTCTCAGTGGCGAGTCCATCTAGGACCGAGAGGACGGTAGGCGCCACAATCATCAGCACTAGGAAGAAAAAGCTGACCCTTTCCAGTCCGGGCATTGCTGAGGACCCCACTTGCCCCAAGCAGCCCGGCAGCCCTTTCGAGTACCTCTGTCCAGAACTGAAGATGAACCTTCGCCGCAGTCCTTGCGAACTGTTCCCAAGACAGTGCGGGCTGCGCTTGGTCAGTGTCACATGCTAATGACAGGATGTTTCTCATAGCTTTTTATTTTGTGTTGTCTTATGTTTGTATGGAGTGTTGTCATTTTGATTTTTTAAGTATAAAAGCTGCTTAGAATAGTTCTATCATGAAGGGCACTTTTCAGATTGTGGGCTGGAAAGGGTTATTTTATCAAGGGGGGAGGGAGGGAGGGAGACGAGAAAGCCTATTGAAAACGAGCCTGTGACGATTATGCACATTACCAGAGGCGACCCGTAATCAGGGGGCTGGCGTGTTCATCGCTGGGACTCCGCACGGTGGCCCTGGCGGCCCAGAGCAGCGTGCTGAGCGGGAGGACTGGCCTGCCGTCTGCTCTCTGTCCCCATGGGGCCGCCTATGCACATTACCTTGTTTCATTACTTTTTCATGTCATTTTTTTTATCCCAAAAAATATTTTTTAAAAGTTAAAAAAAAAGACATATCAAACATGCAAATACTTGAATCCAGCAGGCCAATAGTGAAATGTGAACACTTTCTAATTCTACACCTCCAGGTTGACGTCAGTACGCAGAAACAGGCTCTAGGAAAAATTTCTAAGTTCACAGCCTATGTGTGTGTGTGTTGAAAGAAGCGTGTGTGTGTGCGTGTGCGTGTGCACTTTCTGTGTTCGTGTGTTAAGTGTGTGAGGGATTTAACTGTGGGTTTTCCCTTTTATTCAGTATATGCTTTTTTTTTGGCGCATTGGTCAAACGTTTGTTATTATTGTTATTAGCTTCTAACTTTGCACTGAGTGTCCCTGCCCTTCCTTTAGCTAATCCTATCCATTAAAGAGAATTCACAGGACAGGGCCGGCGACAATTCATGTGTAAATGTTTACTCAAGGACTCTGTTATTGCGTTTAAAAATTACAGTGTATATCTCTGGAGAAATAATATGTATACCTACCTTTAGCAGCTTTTTATTGTGGACTAATGCAAGAAAATTATTACCAGAGTATTGCACCATTTTTCCATTTGGAATATAAAGTTAAAGAGAAAAAAACTGTTGTCGAACTGTGGCCATAGATACTTGCAGAGAATGGATGGTTCCGCGGGAGGAACAGAAACGAGCACTTGGACGTGGGTTGTGACTGCTTTCGGAGGAGCCTGGGTTAGGGCTCCCACCTGTTTACAGACTTTTTTTTCTCCTTCAGACTTTAAAGTAAAAAAATTTTAAAAAGGAATTAAAAAAAAAAGAAAAAAAAAGACTTGCGTCGTGAAGAAACCTATTTTCAGAATGCAGACCGCTACTTCAGAGCTCTGGGATTGGACAGTGTTGTTGTTCCCTCCGGCCATCGTCGTGGACTCTGTCGATCGTCCCCCTCGTCAAGGTGACAGGCGTCGTGGTCACTGTCTTGCACATGCGGAAGCGCTCTCAGGAAGCAGGGTTCCCGAGGGGCAGCTCCACACCATTTCATGTATTTTGTAACCAACTCCTAGCACTGAAGATGTTATTAAAAAACAAACAAAAAATAAAGAAAAAAAGAAAAAAGAGGAAAAAAACACAAAGAAGAAAAAATACCTAATCTCTAATGTGTAGCAGTTACATATTTACCAAATAATGGACTCAAAAGAAATAGATGTTTGAAGAGTGCTTTATATATTAAAAATTGCTTTATGTTTTAAAAATGATCAATGTTTTGATTGTTTTGCAAGAAAGAAAGACAATGGAGTAACATACCCTCAAGTATGTTTAAAAAATATATGAACATTGTGCTCCCTGCCTGCTTGATCAGGAAACTTGTGCATTACATTTTTTTTAATTAGCTTTTTAATGGTTTTATCAAAACAAAAAAACAAAAAAAAAAACGACAAAAAACAAAAAAACAGAAAAAAAGAAGGTCCTGCAAAATTGCAGATCAACGAAAGCTGGTTTTATAGAGGATCATGAACTATGCACAAACTGGGTTCAAGACCTTTCTCCTCAAGTTCAGTAGTGTATTTAGCTAAAGAAACCCTCCTCAGAGTAATTGCATCTCATTGCCATTACATGCAGTCTATATATTTGATGTATGTATACCTGCATATGTATATCAAATATATGTGCGTGCGTGCGTGTGTGTGTGCGTCCAGACATACAGCTTCCCGTGCTGCCATTTAGCATCGAGTTGTAGAAAAACTCCTGATATTTTAAAATTGGGGATGGAAGTCAAGAATCTGTTTGTTTTTGGGTTTTGTTGAGGGTTTTTTTTGACCTTTTATTTTGAATTAAAGATGTCTGTAACTCTGAGATTAAAAAACAAGTTTGTGGCTTTTAATGTTTTTCCTCATAGAATGTGATTGTTGAAGAACATGCACCGAAAGTTGCTTTCAAAAGTACAACGCTTTGTTGAATCTTAATAAATTGCAATTTTTTTCTTGGCTGTTCAAATAAATGTGGTTTTTATTTTCCAAAGACAGATATCTTGAATGTTCACTTTATGTTTTAGGAGAGAGAATTGTCCTGCTGTGTGTAACAAATTCCCTGTCTCTTTTATGATATCCTAGAGTTTACGTCTATAATCAGACAAACTTCGAATTTCGATTGTTTGACTTGTAGTTTTATCACTTGTTCTGTGGTTTGACACTTAACACTGAAATCTTACCAATGATCATCGAGAGATGCAGTGGAGCTTCTGAGCTCTCCAGCACCAGCCGCCCGCCTGCATCTGCCACATCGGAGAACCAGGATTCTCTCGGACAGCAGTGGGACCTGGCCAGGGTCTGTCTGCTTGGAGTCCTGGCGAGGACCACTGATCACTCTCCCCTGTGAGCCAGTTTGGGCCGCAGAAATATTTGGAGAGAAGGGAGGAGGGAAGGTCCTCTGAGTTTCTGACGTTTTGCTCATGTGTGTGTGTAGGAGAGCCTCAGCTAGCTGACGGAGCGCTCCGTGCGAGCAGCGGAACTCACCGTGCTGGGCGCAGCGCATCCCGCCGCCGTGCTGCAGGAGGCAGTGAGAAATCGCAGCGCTTCGCTTTGTTTTCTCAAACCAACCCCTGGAACCCTTACCATGACGTTAAATGAGTTCAGCGTCAGTGCTGCTCTTTCATCAGGATTCTAAAGATAGCCTCTAGAAGACAAGCCAGCATGTCCTCTGTGACCCCTTGCTCGGCGACTTGCAGAATGAGTGTCTCTTTCTGTCTCCACTCCTGTGAGTCAATTCCACATTTTATCAAGAAGATCGGACCCAGCTGGCCCCTCGGACAAGGCGGTGAGCTCCTGGCTCTTAGTGACCTCTTCTGAAAGTTGGGAAGGAAAGCACTGAATGGGTTATAATCAGGAGAAGGAAATGAAAGACGAGATGAAGAACGAAACTCAGGGAGTGAGCAGTGCAAACGCAGCTGACGCTCTAAACTAGCCCGAGCCCGGAGGCAGCCTCTCGCCAGCGCTGCGAGCCAAGTCTGCAGCGAGTGTCCACTTGGCGCCGGCCGTGTCCAGTTCCTGCAGGGAGCAAAGCAGCAGCGCCGGCTCCCGAGAGAACAAGGTCAGGGCCTCCGGATGTTCAAAGGATGCAGCAGGCTTCATGGAGGAGGCGGCATTGGCCCTGGGCCTGGAGGCTGGATCGAATTTTGACAGACTGGGGAAAGTGAGGGACAGGTGGGGAACACAGCACAAGTAGAGATGCAGAGTGTCGGCCTCCCACCACTGGAGTGAGGCTGGGGGTCCTGTGACCCACCGCTGTCTGGCATCTGAAAACAGTTCAGAGCTGCACTTTTTTTTGGATTGATCTGGCCACACCATGGGACAACGGCAAAGAGAGAAGGCGGGTGCTCAGCGGGTGATAGCGCAACTTGCAGAGAAAGGGCTGTTAGAGAAGAGAGGTGTCGCAGCCAGCTCTGATCCTAGAGATAGGAAAGACGAGTTCGGAGATGCTGAGGAGCTGAGCACACGGGCACTGGAAACCGGGAACATGGAGATAGGAAGACGTCTCAAGAAGTGGGAATCATACATCTGGGATGGATCAAGAAAAACCTACGTAGGAATCGTGATGGAAACAGGGTTTCGCAGCGGCGGCGCGGTTGACGAACTCTGCTTGTGTGGGACCGCTACCTGAACGGCAGCACCTGTAGCAGGCCTGGCCCCCCAGTGGTTGTGAAAACCAGAAGCACATTTCCACGATGCCCCCTTAGTGGGCAGCACTGCCTCAGGCTTAAGTGACATTGCAGATGCTGGATCCAGCACAGAGCAGTGGTTTCCAACCCTGGCTCCGTGTGGGAATTATCTGGAATTTGTAGAACTCCCAGTGCCAGGGCATATCCCAAACCAACTCAACCAGAGTCTCTGGGGTGGCCCGGGCACCGCAGACACTCAGTTCCCCAGTGGTTCCACTGAACAGCCAACGTGGAGCAGCAGTGGCTTAGAGGAATCTTGTTGTTTTTGTTTTAGAGGAAGATTAGCCCTGAGCTAACTACTGCCAATCCTCCTCTTTTTGCTGAGGAAGACTGGCCCTGAGCTAAGATCCATGCCCATCTTCCCCTACTTTATATGTGGGACGCCTGCCACAGCGTGGCTTGACAAGCAGTGCCATGTCCGCACCCGGGATCCGAACCGGCGAACGTGCGAACTTAAGTGCTGCACCATGGGGCCAGCCCCCAAGAGGAGCCTTCTCATCAGGCTGAAGCAGCACCGTCAGCCTCCCGTCCACTGGAATAGCAAGTTCTCTTGAACTCTTGTCAGTTGGTCTCATTGGGCAATTCCAGCTAGCTTGTTGCTGTTTCTTTTCTTTTTCAGCCAAACTCCTATGTGCCGAGCATGGTGCTAAGCACTGTAGAGGAGCCATGCCCTTTGCTCCCACAGCCCCTTGAAGTGAGGAACTGGGGCTGGGACAGGTACAGAACATGCCCAAGGCCACCAGCTAGTAAGGGTCAGGATCCAGGCCCATCTGACTCCACCGCTGTCGCTCAGTCAGCCCTTACAAGGGCTCCGTCACGGAGGAGCGTGGCAGAACATTCCCCTGGAGGGTCTGAGGCCACACGTGTATGAGAAACAGCACCGACAGGAGATGGACGTGGACGTAAAGAGAACGGCGCGCACAAAGCAGGGCTGGCGAGTCTGGAGTCTGCGGCTAGCCGGCAGGCCGGAGCCGCTGCTGCAGCCTGGAGGCGGGATCTCTTCTCTGGGAAAGCTGTTTTGCTCTTAAGGTCTTTCAACTGATTGGATGAGGCCCAAATGCACCCTTGGGGATAATCTTAAAGGCAACTGACTGCAGGTGTTAGACACATCCACGCAGTACCTTCGCAGCAGCACCTTTAGTGCTCCAGTAAATAACACAGAGCTGACCATCGCACACGGTAATGCTGTGCACGCACCCTGGGCCAGCCTTCCACTTGTTTTCCTGAGTAGCTCGTCCTGACTTTTAGTTGTTGCGAGGCAGTGAGGTAGTAAATGAGAACTGATGGTAACACCAGGTCAAACTGGAAGAGGTACGTTTACACTCATCCCCCAGGAAGGGCATCCGTGATAACTTAGACTACAGTGGCTAGGTGAGTTTGGCCCAGAGACCCCAGGTCAGTTGTGCACTTCTTGGACTGCGCATGCAAATTCATCCAGCGGCGCTCATGCCCAGAGATAAAAGCCAAGAGTTGCCACCCAGGATCAGCGCCAGCTGCTGGCCGAGGTCCCTAAGCACAGCTGGCTGGTATCGGCCACCACAAGCCCAGGAACCCTGATCTGTCAGGGGCATCGAGGGCGCCATGCCCCACCCACAGAAGTCTGGCTGGCGCCAGGTGAGCCTCTGCAGCTGAGTCAACAGAGGGCACCTGCTCCTGGACCTCTGCCAAACACAGGAGCACCACTGAGGGACTGTCCTTGGAAAGGGACAGTTTGGGGTGAGCGTGGGCCCAGCCGGGGGCACCGCTACTGGCAGTGGCATCCCCACTGTGGGTCTCACCTGGCTCTGCCCACTGCCTCAGCCAGGCCAGAGCTCCGCTCTTCCGGGCTCCCCTCTGGGATGAGGAGTGCTGGGGCCCGTTGTTCTCTGATCTCGTTTCCCCACCCAGGGCCCTGTGCCCAGCTCCTGCGGACATGAGACACTGGGGCTGTGACAGCCTAGTCCCCTCCTCCCTGCACCCTGCTCCCTCACCCCACAGGCTCCTCAAACAGCCTGGCGGGACCTGGGGCCACCCCTACAGCCACAGGCAACCAGACCCCCTCCCGCTCTGCCTGCCAGGCTCCTCTCCCATTGGCTCAGTCACAACTGAAATGTCATCCCCCCCCAGGTCCCTCCCTAAATTTGCCCTCCTGCCCCCCGACCCCACTAACCACTAAAGGCTCACCGCCGCTGACCGGCACCGGGGACACGCCCCTAGCGCTGGCCTGCTGGGCTCAGGCTGCGGCGCGGTCCCTCCCTGCCACCTGGGGCTCGGCCAGCAGAGGGCGCCCTGTGCTCGGCACCGCAGCCCCACTGCGTGTTTCATCTGTACTGAAACAGCCCGGGCCTGGGGGCGCCCCACCGAGGCGTCTCCCGGGCTTCTCGTGACCGCAGGAAGTGGTCAGTTCACGTTCGTCCATCCAAAAGTGCATCCGTGACTACTGAGAGGAAGGCTGCGGGCCCTGGTGTGGTCTCCAGGGAGAGGTGCCTTCAAGAGCCAGAAGGAGGAACTGAAGGAGCTGCCTGTGCAGGAGGCTGAGGTTCCCACGACCTCGGCCGGGAGGTCACCCACGGGGCAGCGGGAGGCAGGCTGTGGTCCCAGGGGCAAGGCCCCGCGCACCCCAGGGCAGGCCCAGGCTCCCAAGAGACAAACCCATTTTGCAAAACATGTTTAATCAGAATAAATAGAGTCTGGGCAGGGCAGGGTCCCATTCACCCACCCTCCAGCCCCAGCCTCAGATGGCCACAGAGTCCTGTCACCCTCCTGTGTCCAAGCGGGGTCAGCCAGAGGGACCAGTGCAGTCTCGGGCCAGCATCTCTGCCTGCAGGGCCGTGGGGACGGAGGGTGACACAGGGTGCAGGCCGAGCTGTGAGCAGACACAGGGCTGCCAGACACATCGCTGTCCTACCGGGCGTCCCGCTCATCTGCAGGCAATGTTGGGGGCACCTCGGCCTCCTGGGCTCTCCCAACCCTGCCACAAAGGGAAGTCAGCCAGGGGTGGCTGCGGTCCCTCCAACCTGGTGGGCCAGACACCCAGCAGCCTTCTTCAGGGGCTGCATTCGGCCTCAGAGGGTAAAGAAGGCTCTAGAGAGAAGTGGGAGGGGCTGGGCAAAGGCTCGGATCCCCTCTGATGCATTTGTTTAAGGGGGCTCCTGCCTGCGGAGGAGCCCCGGGGTCTCTGCAGACCTCAGCCTGCCCACCTGGCCGGGGGGAGTGTTGGGGGGGCTGTGTATTCCCGTGTGTCTGTCTGTCCAGGCAGCAGGAAGCTGTCTGAACTCATCTCCCTTTCCCTGGGCTGAACCACAGGTAACAAATGAAGGGTGAGACGTGGGGCCGCAGCAGCAACCCCGGCCCCACCCGTGGCCACCCAAGGCCGAGACACAGCATTTGGGGGTGTTCCCCCCACCTTTGTGGCAGGCACCCCCGACTTGTAAAGAAAGGGGAGAGGCAGAGAGAAGAGGAGGGAAGGGCATGAGGGCCCCGCTCGACCTCCCCACCCACAGGCTCTCATTGCCCTGTTCCTCTCACCAAACTGAACAGGTTGCCTCCTCCCCCAAAAGCCCCACACACCTGAGGAGGAAAGTGGGGGCGAGCGGGCAGGGGGTCGTGAGAGGCTCCCAGGGACTCTGGGAGGGCCACCCAGGGAGCCTGCAGCCACTTCCCTCCCGACCCCCCAGCTCCACACCATGTCCCTCCCTGTCCAGTGCCTGGTCCCTCTCCCCTCCACACTCCTGCGCAGAGTGGCCCTGACCCCTCCAAGGCCCCTCACCTGCTCCTCTCCTTCCCCTCGTAGACAGAGTGAAGCTTGTTGATTAAGAAGATTTTGTCTTCCCCTTCCTAAAAAGGCCAGAACGCAAAAGGTGAGAGAACCGAAGTTGTCCGTCCATCTGTTCCAGACTGCCCTTGAGGGAGCTCACAAGGAGTATTCAACATCACAAGCACAAAAAGTTTAAAGAAGGGGGAAAGAGGCACCAAAATAAGGATGAGGAAAAACCAAGAGCCAAGGAGGGGGCATAGAGAGAGAGAGCACGAGAGAGATCGAAGCATCCTAGCGGCCAAGGTAAAAAGGGAAATGTGAGGAGCTGCACAGCGTGGACCACAGAGCCAGCCTGACTCGATTTACAACTGGCCCTGCCACTCACTAATTCTGCCTTGGGCAAATTACCTCCTCTCTGACCTCAGAGTCACCACCTATAAAAGGAGGATCAGAATGTCTGTCACGGGGTTTTCTATTGTTGCTCTAACCAAGTACCACAAACTTAGCAGCTTAAAACAACACAAATTCATCACCTTTCAGATCTGGAGGTCTAAAGTCCAAAATGGGTCTCGTGGCTAAAATCAAGGTGTCAGCATGGCTGGTTCCTTCTGGAGAATCTTTCCTGCCTTTTCGCGCTCTGGAGTTCACCCTCATCCTGTGGCTCAGGGCCATCTCCCATCTGCAAAGCCTGCAGTGGCCGGTTGGGGCTTTCTCACATCTTTCTCTGACGCTGACTCTCCCACCTCTCTCTTCCACTTTTAAGGACCTTGTGATTACACTGTGCCCACCTGGACAGTCCAAGATCACCACCCGGTCTCAAGGTCAGCTGATGAGCAAAAATGCCATCTGCAACCCTTATCCCCTTGTGCCACGTAACGTGGCACGTTCAGTTCTGTGATTAGGACGCTGACGTCTGGAGCCAGGACTGGCCAACTCAGGGCTCTTTCGACAACTGAATGCGAAAGCACACCACGCTTTGAGCCTGGGCCCTGGGGCCCCTCCGCAGCACGGATCTCAGCAGCCACCAGCACCCCTCCCTCCCCCCCCCCCCGCCCCCCGCCAGATCAGCCTCCCTGCAGGGAGTCCTCGCAAAGAGAAAAGAGCAGTCTCGTCAGGATGCATTCCCGGTGCCCCAGACCCCAGCCCACCCAGTAGGGCCGCTGGCAGAAAGCCACCTCCACCAGCTGTGGCCAGGCCGCCAGCTCTGCCAGAACGCCCGGCCCTGAGCTCCGGCCGCTGTGAGCTCTGCAAGACGCACCGTGTGAGCCAGGGCAGCTGGGTCAGCTGCACCGCGTTATCGATAACCCCGTAAAAGCGGGAGCGGCCCTGCCCCAGGTGGCCAGCAGCAGGGCCCGCCTGCCCACACCCCGCGCCCGAGCCCCGAGTCCTTTGTAACACAGCATCAGCACAGTGCCGCAGAGGAGCTGCCGCCCAGCCCTGCAGTGAACGCCTGGGGACACAGGCACCCACCGGCCCCAAAGTGGGCTCAAGCATTAAGTGCACAAGTGAAGAACGCAGGAGGAAAAGGAAACCAGAAAAAACAAGAAGAAAATGGCGGTGGGAGAATGATGGCAGGCCCCAGGGGCGTGCTCAGAGCCCACCACGCACTGCGGTGGCAGGTCCCCCTGCGCAGCCAGCCCAGCCCCGGGCAGCACGCGACCGGGTGAAGGGGCAAACGCCAGGCCAGGTGAGCCAGGCTCGACAGGGCAGGATCTGGTTTTCAACGTGATGGGAGGCCCAGTAACCGAGTCCCGAAGGAGGGACAGTCTGGGGCCAGGCCGGGCTCCTCTCAGGCTGGGCTCAGCAGCCGGGGTGGCAGGAGCACCCTGGGCCTGCAGGCCCCCATCACCCCGGCTCGGTCCCCACAGACCGCCACGTGCTTGACAGACACGCTTCAGTCCCAGCCGCTTTCAACCCGATTCCGCTTGTTTGCAAAATGAGGGCACTGAACAGGGTCCATGCACCAACACGGGTCCCCCAGGACATCCAGCAGCCATTTCCAGCTTCTCAAAGACCCCCACAGAGACTGTCTGCGCCCACGCAGGGCCGCACACCCTAAAACGCCTGTTCTCAACTGTGGTCGCAGTCAGATCCGCCGGAGCCCTCGTCCCCGCTGGGGCTTTGCAGACGGGACCCCCAGCTGCCTTGTGTCTGCATCTCCGCTTAATACAAACTACTCACAGCGATCAAGACGACGGGTTTGGCAAACGAACGCTTTCAACAGCCCAGGTCCATGGGGGGTGCGGCGGGGGGGCTAGGGTGGAGGTGGGAGGGGGACTCACGTTGCTGATCTGCTCCTTGAGGAGGCAGATGACCTTGCGCTGGCCCTTCACCACCTGGATGTTGAGGTAGATCACAGCCCTGCGGAGACAAGACGGCGGTCAGGCTCGACCCCGCGGCAGCCAGGGGCGGGGAGGGGCGTGCGCCGGGCCGGTCCTCTGACGCCCCCCGTCCCCCACTCACAGCAGCAGAGCCGACACCAGGTAGATGGGGAAGGTGTTCTCCACCAGGTACCGGTGGATCCAGGGCAGCCAGGAGACCCTGGGGCCCGCCTTCTCCAGGTGGCGCACCCACACCTTGCCCGCCTCATACATGGTGTCCAGGGTCCGGAAGGGGCCGCAGATGCTCGAGGGCCTCACTCTGGGGGAGGAGGGCAGCTTGAACCCTCAGCCCGGACAAAGGTGACCTCCACATCACCCCGAGCCACGGCCCCCAACCACAGCCCCCAGGCTCCTCCACACAGCACCTCCCCAAGTCCTGGGGCGACTCCAGCCCCCGCGCCCCAAAGGCGGGCACCACTCACTGCCAGATGGCGTAGCAGAGGAAGACGGCAGCGCCCAGGAAGGAGGGGAAGCAGAGCAGCGACACGAAGACGGTGCTCATGTGGGAAGCCAGCCAGGGCCTGCGGGGCGCCCGGCAGTTGGCCATCAGGCTCGTCTGAGGACAAAGGCTGCGCTCTGCCACCGCCCTGCTGCCACCCAGGCCCTCGGGGCCTCCCGGGGGGATGGGAGGGGGCCGTGCGTCCAGGTGGCCAAGCCAAGACCCCCAGGACACAGCAAGGCTCGCCCCCACCCCCGCCACAGCCACGGCAGCCCCGCAGAGAGATGGACACTCTGGGACCCTGAGCACCGGCTGGAAAGAGCCCGAAGGCCAACCTCCAGGATCCTGTGGGTCGGGCGGCACTGACAGCCACCTCCAGTGACTGAGGTCTCTGCCGGGCCAGACACCACACCCCGTGCTTTATAAACATCGCCTGAGCCTGTCCCCAGGAGCACTGTCCCCATTGCACAGATGAGGAAACAGAGGGCCAGCGAGGAGGGGAACCCGACTCTTAACCACGGAGCTCGCTCCCCCTCGCCCCCACCCGAGGACCGAGGGCCAGGGTCCTTCCCACGGCCAGGAGGACCTGAGGCTCAGCGCGCCTCCCAGCCTCCCAGCCCTCAGCCCCAGCCCAGCACACACGGGCACCCGCTAACGACCACGGCCCCAGACAGGCTGGGCATCACCTCAAGGACAGTGATGCCAGGGGAAGGGGGTCAGCTGGTCCCCTGGGGATGTGGGACTGACCCCAGTGGGTGGCCCCGGGCTGCCAGGCCTGTACCACTTGGGTCAGGGGAGAGGTCCCAAGTCCCAGCTCATGTCTGCCAGCCCAACAGCCCCCTGGCTGCACGCGCTCGCTCGCAAGGCCCCGACACCCCCGGGGGTCCCAGCGCCACCTTTACCTTCTTGACATAGAAGAGGACCAGCAGCTTCATGATCTGCATGGCAGGGAGGAGGGGCGAGAAGAGGACCCCCAGCCTGGGGAGGGGCGAGAGGAGGGGCTGCAGTCCAGAGGGTGGAGTCACGACCCCTGGGCTGCTCCCACGGCTAAAAGGCCTCTGGGCCAGGCTGGGTTCAGGACCCTGGGGAGGGCACAGGCAGAGTGGCGGGCGCAGACCGAGTCTCCTGGGAGGCGAGCACTCAGGGCCCGGGCCACTCCAGGATCCCAGGGTTGGGCCTTGCCAAGGGCCGAGGGGGAAAGGGGCTCAGCCCTCGCCGGGCCGGGGAAAGCGTGAGGCAAGTGGAAGACGCTCACCAGGTCAGCGTCTGCCCGTAAATCAGTTCTAGAACATTGCGGGCAATGTCGAACTCTGGCTTCCCCCGCTTCTTACGCTGCTTCTCAGAGATGAACCTGGGGCAGAGGAAGCCCTGACGGTCACACAGGAGGGCCCCCCCCAAGACCAACCCCAGTGCCCCCGGAAGACAGGCACCCAGCCGGGGCACCGGCACGAGGAGCTGGCGTCCCTGCCCGCCCCTCAGCAAGGCTGGGGGGACAGCAGCCCGGGGTCCCCACCCTGGGGGGTTCTAGACTTCATCTGGGTCCTTGTTCTGAGCACCTACAGACACAGCCAGGTGTAGACACAGTCGGCATCAAACGTTTCACTGCTTTTTGAAAATCTTATTTTTTTATTATCATAAATTTACATGTTCTCGAACAAAACACAAAAAGAAGGAGATAAAAACCCCCACAGCGCTGGCCCCCACAGCTGCTGCCGTGGCGTTTTGAAAATGTCCCCCCACTTTCTACCTCTCCATTCCGACCCTCTTTTCTCTGCACAAGACCAAGACTACGGCTATACACATCATTTTGAAAGCTGTTTTCCTTTCCGACCTAAAAATAGGCTACATCCTGTCTCGCAGGTGTTTTTCTCAGTTTAACCATCTTTTGCAAAAGAGCCCCAGCCCACTGTGGGTGGAGATTTCTGACCCCCATCTGGGAGGTCAGGTCCTGCACTTCAGGGGCCTGAGGACCTCCCAGGTGACCCCTCCCAGCATGCAGGTGAGGATGCTCTGAGCCCTTCCGAGGATGGGAGCCCAGGTGACGAGGGCAGGGACCCATGCTCACGGAGGGGTGGGGGGAGGGGGGCCTCACCTCCACACCAGCTCCCCGAAAAGCGTGTCCAGCAGCGTGAAGACGAAGTCCATCACCATGAGCCGGTACAGCTCCTGGCCCACGAAGTTCTCCCAGCACTGAGACAGACGGGGCCTTAGTCCCCGCTGCCCCCACCCCCCTGCTCCCCCCAGCCCACCTGGGGGCCTCCAATCTGCTTCTCCACCAGCCCAGATAAAGCCAGGTGAGGGCTGGCGTGCAGGGCTGCTGCGAGGGGCTGCTTCCTCCACCCCTGCCCCTGGGACCAGGGCAGCCCCTCCTGAGGGGCCCAGACGCCTCCCCCCGCACCGCCCGGGCCCACCCTCACCTGGCCCTTCAGGGCGCCCACCCTGCGGCCCAGCCAATGGTAGCAAAGAATCCCTAGGATGACCATCTTTAGGATGAGGTTCCTGCGGAGGACGAGAGGTGTGGAGGCCGAGGGAGGGGCACCTGGGAGACAGAGGCCTTGGCCCAGGAAGGCCCACCTGCCCCACCGGGTCACACACCTGCAGATGGCCACGTATACCTCCAGTATGGGGGAGTCGTGCCGCTCCAGGGCGGCCAGGCCACGGTACAGGTAGGGGGCCCCCAGGTTGAGGAGGCAGACCACCAGGGGCAGGGCCAGCAGCTCCCACTCCCGCTCAGCAGACACTGGGTTCTACGAGGGCAGGGCGAGGGGCAGTGGTCACCACAGACGCCCCATCAACGGGGCCAGGTCCACTGATGGGCTCCCCCCGGGGCGGGGTGCACAGGGCGGAAGGAGGGGGTGGGAACTGGCGGGCAGCACCTCCCTCCCCCAAGATACCCTCCACCCCGGGCCTCGTGTTCAAACCACACAGGAAGAAGGGGCACAGGTGTCGGAAAAAGAAAAGAGAAACCCAAAGAAAACGAGAAAATAAAAGGCGAGGAGGGGAGAACGCGAGACAGATGGAGGGGACAGGCAGGACATCCCACGGGTCACACAGGGCCCTGGGCGGGCTCCCAGTCCCAGCCAGAGCCCCCAGGGGCTGCCCACTCCCTCCCCGCACCTTGATCATGAGCTCAGAGAAGGCGTAGACGGCCAAAGTGCAGCCCAGCGTGGTCCCCAGGCACAGCAGCCACACGAACCCCAGGATAGCCACCTGCCGCAGGCGCCCCCACACGCTCCGTGGGCCCTGCTGCAGCTGCCACTCAGCCAGCAGCTCCTGCGGCGACAGCGAGCCCATCACTCAGTCCACGGCGTAGACACACACAGAGAGAAGTGCAGACACACGCACGACGCACACAGGGACACGGAGTGCACACCCAGGCAGGCTTGGAGGGACCGAGGGGTCGCCACCCGCTCACCCCCAACTCCCCCACCCGTCCCTCCCTCCACTAAGGCCCTGTCTCCAAGCACAGAGAGAACACAAAACGTGGCGTCAAGGCTGCGCCCTGCCCCTGATGCCCACCGGCCCCCTGCTGTGTCCACCTGCTCCCACCCGGGCTCCTGTTGCCTCCCAAGGCCTGCCCCCACCTCTCCCACCCGCCTCCTCCTCCCTCCCCCACCAGCCCTGCCTCCTGAGCCATCCTGCCTGCAGTGCAGGTGGGTACCCCCCAACTGACCAGGAGCCTCAAGGTGCAAAGAGCACCTCGCCTCCCCGTCAACCCGGGGAGCTTCCTGAGGGCAATGAAGGCCCATTAGCCAGGTCAAAGCCATGAGCTCCCCAACGCAAATCCTGCAGCATGAAACCCCAGAAACACAGAGAACTTTCCAAATGGCCCAGGTCAGCAACCCTCGAGCCCTGTGGCCTTGGGCAAAAGACTGAACTGCTGTGCCTCAGTCTCCTCACTTGTAGCTACTGTGGGGAGCCAGGAGCGCGTGCCAGCAGCAGCCCCACCGCCCTCTGCCTGCTGGGCACCAGAGGACACAGGGACTCCCGGAGAGGCCCTGAGAGCAAAGCTAACCCTCTCCCACCACAGCGTCGGCCCCCGGTCCTCCAGCCTGGGGTAAGGGTGGACAGACACCTGAGTCCCCACAGGATGGAGGACAGGCCGACATCAAAGCCCGCCCAGAGCACGCACACCCACCCAAACCCGCTGTGAGCGGAGGCTTCCGTTCCCGTGGGCTCCCACGGGGTCCAGGGCCGTGGGCGCTTACACTCGCTTGCAGGCGAGAGGTGGCCCCACCTGCGGGAAGTGTGCAGCCTGGGGCTGGTGTCCCAGGGACACGGGGCGGGTGGCAGGGCCACAGGTCCCCACGCAGCTCACCTTCAGCTGGGTTCGGATGTTGTCCTGCTGCAGACGCGAGGGCCATTTCTGAGTCACCTTGTAGTCCCAGGAGCAGAAAACGGTGATGGCGTGGACCCCCGAGGTGCTGCCCACCCGGTAGCTCTCCCCAAAAGAGCGGGACATGCTGGGAGGAGCAGAGCCAGGCAGCGGGTGATGAGGGGCGCAGAGGCCGGGGAGAAGACAGACGGGACACTCCCTGCAGCCAAAGCCCACCATCCACACGGAGGAGCCCTCCCAGCACTGGATGGGCCTCCCACCACGGCCCCTGCCCGCCTCCAGCCCGCCTCCTGGTGTGGACCGCCGGCCACTCCTGATCAGCCCTGTCCAATACAGTGCCCACCAGCTATGAGTGGCTGGAAGAGGGGTCAGGCTCCACGCCCCACTGACATAGTTGGCTGCCTCCTACCCAGACTTGGGTGGAGAAGATACTGGCTCACCTCAGGGCCTTTGCACTGCCTCTTCTGATAACCAAAACACCTTCCTCTGTTCCTTCCCTGCCCACTTTTATTTAATCTCCCCCTCTGGGGCAAGTGCCACTTCCCCTGAGAAGCCAGCCTGACTCCTGCAATGCTCCATAACTCCTGGATTTTCCTGGCCTCCTCATTGGTCTCTCTTCTCCCCTAGATAGCAAGCTCCTCAAGGACAGGGAATATGCTCATTTACCTTCCTGCTCTGAGCCAAGCACAGCAAATGTTTGTGGGGTGGATGGGTGGATAGATTAACGTGTAGGTAGATGGAAGGAAGGGAGGAAATATCCTTGGGTGGATGGGTGAATGGAAGGATGGATAGACTGATGGATGAATGGGTAGTTGGATGAATGGGTTAATGGATGGATGGTTGGATATGGATGGATGGATGGATGGATGGAGGGACTGATAGATGAATGGGTAGCCAGATGAAAGGATGGATGGATGGATCAGTGGTGCTCAGAGCCAGGGGCATATGGTAAAGGGCCTTTACCTGTACACCAGGGTGATGCAGGTGATAAAGAAGGACATGCCCATGGTGAAGAGGTAAGCCAGGGGCATGTTGTAGGGCAGGCCCCCCGCCTCAGGGGTGCACTGGCTGCCATCCAGTGGGGGGCCACACAGCTGGTTCAGCGTGGTATTACTGTAGTAGCCGTAGTACATGACGGAGTGGGAGAAGCGGCCCTGCAGGGAGGAGGCCCGGCTGAGGCAGGGACTCTCCCCGCTCCCCACACCTGACCACCCTCAGGCTTCACGAGGCAGAGGCAGCACACCCACGAGGGCAGGGCAAGGAGAAAGGCAGAGCAGGAGAAGGGCGAGGGCAGGGGCAGCGAGAATGCAGAAGTGGACAAAGGACCAAGGCCATCCTGGGGCTTCCCAGACCCCACTGAAATCAGGACAAGAGGACTGAGGAGAGCTGGCTGGACACCTGGAGTCACAGCACTCGGGGAGGCGGGGGGTCCCTGGGGGAAGCTGTGACCAGGGCGTGTACCCACCAGCCCAAAGCCCCTGCCCCTGCCCCTGCCAGCCCTCACCCCACCAGTGAGGAGCTCCAGGCCCGTGAAGGTGGGGACAGAGCCCGCGGGGGCTGGCGGGAAGGCGGCCTGCACGCCCACGATGAAGGCCAGCAGCGGCAGCAGCAGGAGGGCGTTGAAGGCCAGCAGGGTCTTGAGGAAGAGGAAGTAGGACAGCACGCTAGAGCCGAACTGGCCCCCGATCTGCTTCAGGGCGTAGCGCCACGGCGTCAGGGCCTGCAGCGCTGAGAGCAGCGCCAGCCCCAGGCTGTGCAAGGCCTGTGGGGACAGGGCAAAAGGTCCTGCAGGCGAGGCCCCAAGGGGAGCCGGCCAGCTCTGCGCAAAGAGCCCGGGCGCCCAGCTTGGAGGTGCAGGGGGCAGCGGAGGGCAGGGGTCATCCACGGCACTGGAGCTAGGCTGATGGCTGGGAGACCCCACAGCGGGACAGTGGAAGAAAGGAGAGTGGCTGCCCCTGCCCGCCCGCTGCCCCGGCCCACCCCGGACGGAGGCCTGGAAGCCGGCCCAGGGGGCTCCTACCAGGCCACAGGCATATCGGAGCCGGCTACAGCAGGGCAGGAGCCCTCGACGGCCCTGCGGGCCCCTCTGCTTCCCGCTCTGGGTCCAGCTCTCCTCCCTGGGGGCAGAGGCGGCATCAGGGCCTGGTCTGGGGATGGCCCAGCACCCCGCCGGGGAATACCTGCCGCAGGCTCGGGCCCTTCTCGCCCACCACCCAGCCCAGCCAAGGAAGTGGGTCTGGGGGCCGCCCAAGGCCACAGGCACTGACCGCAAGGAGCGTTTCTCAGCCAGACTCAAGGGCATCCCGCGGAGCATGTGGTCCCGCTGGGTCACTGTCAGGCCCTGAAGCTCCTTCACCAGGAGAGTCCGCTTCTCTGCAGGAGGAGAACGAGGGAGTCCTGTCAGTTCCCCAAAGCGTCCCTCCCCACTCCCGCCCCTGTGGCCATGACCCTGGATGGGCCTCTGCCCCTGCTGCCCACCCCACACAGGCCTCTGCCCGCCCTGCAGGCCCGATGGCTCCGCTCTGCCTGGACCATAGATGCCAGACGCCACCCTGCCCGCCTGTCTCACACCAGCGCTGGACGTCCTCGCTCTGCCACGTCTGCCCCAAAGCCCGGAGTGCCCTCTCCCCTCTGTCGAGCTCCCAGTGTCCTCCAAGGCCCAGCCCAAAGCCCCCTCCCTCGACCCGAACTCTCCTCCTGGTCCGCACTGGCATCATCCTGACCCCCAGGGCACCTGAGCCTCCCCAGCCCCGCTCAGCAGCAGGAGAGTCCCAACCCCACCGCCGTCCCGCTCCACCTCCCCTGGGGCCCGGGGACGCCCCCTCCCCACCTCCTCTCATCTTCACAACTGCCCTGAGAGGGGCTTCTACATTTTCCAACCCCAACTTTACAGATAAGAAATGACACTCAGGGGCCAGCCCCGTGGCCGAGTGGTTACGGTCGTACACTCTGCTTCCGTGGCCCAGGGCTTGCTGGTTCAGATCCTGGGCACAGACCTGGCACCGCTCACCAAGCCACGCTGAGGCGGCATCCCACATGACAGAACTAGAAGGACCCACAACTAGAATACACAACTGTGTACTGGGGGGCTTTGGAGAGAAGAAAAAAAAGAGAGAAGATTGGCAACACATGTTAGCTCCAGGCCAATCTTTGGGAAAAAAAGGAGATGACACTCAGAATGCCGACACCTGGCCCTGTTTGCACAGTGCAACCGGTATTCATTCTGACCCCAGAGCTTGTGCCACCCACACTGCTCCATCACCCCCTATTTGGGGGCCTGAGGTAAACTGAGGGAGGAAACAGGTGGGGCCCCAAGAAAGTGCCGGAGCTTCTGGGAACCTGAACACCAGAGATCACCTGGGGGAAGACTAGCTGTGAGACCGAGCCCCGAGATGACCAGTCTCCCTCGTTCCCCAGCCCTGGTGCACTGGCCTCCACGTGGCTCAGACAGGCCAGGGCCTCTGACCTCAGTGCCTTTGCACATGCCCTCTCTGCCCCAGTGTCACATCCTCCAGGAAGCCTCCCTGAATCCTTCTAGTCTAGATGGTTCCACGATGCTCTCCTGCTGTGTGCCTTTCCTCAATTGCCTGCATCTGAGCTTTAATCACTCGCTTATCCGTTTATTTGGTTCCCATCTGTTTCACTGGGCAGACCATAAGCTGCATGAGAGCTGGATGGGGCCTGCTTACCACCATCACATCCCAAAGACGAGACCAGCATCTGCAACACTGCAAGCGCTCGACAGAGGCTGTGGAGCGTGTGGGCCTGCTGTCGTGGGCCAGACCCTGCGCAGTCTGAAAGGCCCCACTTCTCTGCCCCAGTGGCAGGGACCCCACCCCTGCAAAGGGACCTCACAGTTGGGGGCCTTCAGGCAGCCTGCTGGGCGAGGGGAGCCTGGGTCGGTGTTCCTGGTCCCTCACCCCAACCAGCCTGACCCCCTCCCCACCGAGGCTCTGACCCCCCTCACTCACTCACCCTCCTCCTGGAAGGCCGTGGGGTCCAGCTCCAGGTCGTAGAGGCGGAGGCTGGGCCGGGCGGAGCGCCCCACACCCCCCAGAGGGGGCCGGCTGCCCCTGCGCCGCAGCCTCACCGTGCGGTTGTAGTACTGGGAGAGGATGGCGCCTCGGCTGCGGCCTGTGGACGTGGCGGTAAGGGTGGGCAGGGCTGGGCCTCCCCTCCCCATCCCTCATGTGGATGCAGAGGCAGCCCCCTCCCCAGGAGCCCGTAAAGTCTCTTTATAAGGGACCTCAGATGCCACTGGGTTCCCAAGAGCCTATTTTTATCCCTGTGACGACTCTGGAGTCATTTTTAGAACCCAGCGAGGCTGCAGGGGGCTGCGCCGGGCCTCCCGGCAGCAGACGGGTGGGGCGGGAGCCGAAAGGGCCTGGCTCTGAGGCACACAGACCCCTGCCTGGAACCCCGGCCCAGCCCAGGGGCTGGGGTCTCACTCACCAATGGTGCGACTGGGCATGCTGGCCAAGATGCGGAGCGTGGCCGTGCTGTAGTCAGGGACACCCTCGGGCCCCAGGAGGGCCTGGTGGCCACTGCCTACAAAGCAGAAAGACATGTCCAGAAGTTCTGGAGAGCCTGCTGGTCAGCAATCTTCCCCACCTCCCCACCCCCCACCCCGGCCTACAGACTGCTGGGACGGCCATCCCAAGAGGTGGGGGAGGCCCGCACCCCTCGGCACCACACAGGGCGGCCAGGCAGGCTCACCTGAGGCCCCCAGGGTTTCGGGCCCCGGCTCCCTCTGGGGGAGGACCCGTAATTCCAGACCCTCCTCAGCCGCCCGCAGGCTCTGCTCCTGAATGAGCTGGTGGAAGGAGTCGTGCACTTCGCTCTCATCATAGGGGCTGGGGTCCTGGCTGCCGGGGTGAGAACGGGGGGTGGGAATTCAGGCTGGGGCTGACCCAGCCCTCTCCCCAGTAGCCTGCCCCTTCTATCCGGCAGTGGTCCAAACGGCCTCTGCCTGCAAGTGACACATCCCAGCCCCACAGCCCCCCAGCCCCCCAGCACTTACCCCTGGTCCTCTGGGGTCTCCGGGACGTTGAAGACAAAGGCTGGCGGCTGGGCCATGTCTGCGGCCCACGCCCAGCCAGCCTGCAGACCTAGGGCCGCTCAGAGCCCGGGCACAGCCTCCGAAGCCTCCAGAAGCCCATCTGAGGAGAGATGGAGCGTGGCACCCAGGCTGGCCTCCAGCGCCTGCCCACCCCACCAACTGCCTGCTCCCTGGGGGCCGTGGGAAGCTAGCTGAGCCCCCACCCTGCCCCCATCCGTCGCCAACACATGGTCACATGGGTGGCCTCAAATAAACCTCATGCTAGAATGGGCGGAGGGAGAGAGGAAGGAAGGGAGTGGGGTCTGGGCAGTTCCCCATCGGTTTCCTCAATGGCACCAGTCCCTGGGAAATGGGAAGGGGGTGTGTCCCCCAGGGCCGCCACCCTCCCGGTGAGAACGGTCAGGGCAGCTCTGACATCTCCCTGCCCACCCCGAAACCCACAGCATTTCCTCTCACAGGAAATCCTGCCCTGCAGACAGCTAGCCCTCACCCGCCCCCAGCCCCAGGCCACTGTGTCCCCCCCCAGCAGCCCCCCTCACACACACACACACAGCGATCACTCCAGGTCATGCGGGGGGCTGCAAGGGCGACGGTTCTCAGGAGAACAGCTCCCCTCCATTCCATCACCCCAAGGGCGGGCCAGGCCAGCTGGCTGGGGGGAGGGGGCCGGGCATTAAACAAGCTGCCTTTGTCCAGGCAGAAGGCTCTGCCGTCACCCGGGACAACTGGAACCAGGGCGGCCTTGTCTGGGCTCTTCACCCCGCGGGAGTGGGGCGGAGGTAACAAGTGCCAACCAGCAGCGGAGTCCCGCAGGCTGCGGCCCAGCTCTCCCCTGCCCTGTGCCCTCCTCCCCACCCTCACTCCCAGGAACTCAGCCACTGGCTCAGCCCAAGGGGGCTTCCTCCAGCAAAGCTCAGGTGTGCAGACAGAGCAGGTGCCACTAGGGCTGCCCCCAGACGGACCCCTCACTTAGGCTCGTGCAGGAGGTCCAGCCCCTGAGTCCAGGCCCCATACAATCCCAGCCCCTTCCCCCTCCCTCCAGCCGGAGCACAGCGTGGGGAGAGATGGGTCAGAGGGCCCCCACTTGGCCTGCAATGGGAAAGCAGCTGGAGGTGGGGCTGACAGCGTGCCCCCTAATCCAGTCGCTGGAGCAGGAACCCCTTCCTGCATAGACACACCCTCCCATGCTGGGACCCACAGGCCTCCCCACCCACCCCTTCTCCACCAGGCAGGGAGTGGGTGTGGGGATGGGAGCAGGACGAGGTGAGCCGGGCTCAGAGGCTTTGGCCTGGGGCCCAGGCTGCCTTCCCCGGCGATGGGAGTTCACCTGGGCACTGGCACCAAGGACTTCCGCCCGGCTTGTACCAAGCGCCCGGGCACCCTACCCCAGGTTCGGGCAGGTCCGTAGGAGTTTCCGGGGAGCACCATTCCTGAGCCCTGAGCCAGGTGGGGAGGGACAGGGTGGGGCCCATTTCCAGGAACCCCACTCCAGCCGGCAGCGATGCCTCCAGGAGCCGCTGCTGCCCAGGACGACCTGCAGCCCAGGGGCAGCCGCAACTCCAGGAGCCCCTGACCCCTGCCCTGTCAGGCTCCCACTCCCCCACTTCCAGCCAGTTGTACCGGCCTGGGCGACCGGCCTCCCCCACCCCCTACCTTTCCCCATCCCGGTTCCGGGCACACACCACCGGCCTCTCCCTGGTGCCCCCAGCGGATGGTGTGGCCTGGGGGCTGCGTTACCCCGCCCCCGCCCCTCTGGGGAGAGTCAAACCCCGGGAGATCCGGGAGAAGCTGGGAGGGAACTCACTGCCCAGTGGCCCCAGACCCCAAGGAATTCGGAGGGGGTGGAGCCGCCCGGCCGCAGGGGAAGAGCTGGGGTTGGGAGGACCAGGGCGCCGCCCCCAAGCCCGGGGTCTGCCTCCGCCCGGACGCAGCACCGATCCAGGCCGCGTACCTGGAAGGTGCCGGAGAGGAGCGGCCCTGCGCGTCCACGAGCGGCTCACCTGTCCGCCAGCAAACACGGTCTGGGCTCCACCACCTGGGGGAGGGACGGCGGGGTGAGGGGGACGGAGTGATCGAGGGCCCAGGGGGCGACCTCTGACCGTCACAGGCCTGGCGGGACCAGAGGGAGCTGCACCGCCCGGCCCGGCCCACGTGGCGGCGGGCCTCCGGAGTCACGTGACCCGGCTCGGCCCGGGCGGCTGCGCCCTGTCCCAACCAACTTCCGACCCCTCCTCGCACCCCACCCTGAGGCTGGAGCAGGGTACAGGCGGCCAAGCGTCTGGGTGGATCCCAACCTCTGCTTGAAGTTCCCAATTCCTGTAGGACTTAGTTTCCCCAGGTTTCAAATGGGGATAGTAATTCCAGACTCGCCCTCTTCCCGGGGCAATTATCCAAATAACACAATGCTGCAAAGCCCCACTGATAGGCGCCTTGTGAGGCCCATTGGGTAACCCCTTCCTCCCGCACAGCCTCCTGTGACAAACTCCCGAGCCGGCTGCAGGCCGGGGGTGTCTCCCCCTCCGACGTGGGCGTGGCTTCTGCTGTTCCTGACCAGAGTGCAGGGCGCTTCCTGTGTGCTGGGTGGGGAGGAGGGGGCAGGCTCCGGGAGGACTGACACTTTGTGACCGTCCCCAGTGCTGTTTTCTCTGGTATTCCCCACAAGCCAGGGAGGCAGGCGCTGTGTCCTAGTTCACAGCTGAGGACATGGGGGCTGAGGGGTTCATCAGCCTCGTGTCACCCGCCAGGGCCTGAGTCTTGCCTACCTGGGAGCTCCACCGAGAACTCCGACCAAGAGGCTACAGGAGAGGCTGCGCGGATTTGAGAAAAGGGCTGGGATGTGGACGGCGGTGGGGGACACTCCTGGGCGGGAGAGGCCTGGAGAGGCAGGCAGGGGGAAAGGAAGGAGAGGGCCCCTAGAGGGCAGAACGGGTGGGCAAAGCCAGGATGCCCGAATGAAGAGACCTAACGCGGCTCCAGGGAAGAGGTCCAGGGCCTGGGCTGGCCAGAGGTGGGCCAGGGTGGGGCCTGTGCGGCTGCCAGCGTGCTTCCCAAGGGGGTTAGCTCAGGCTGGATCCTGGCACGGGCACCTGGGGGTGGAGACCCAGGCCTGCTCAGCCCAGGCCCCTCCGCCCACTGCCCCCCACACACACCCATGCCCCAGCTGAGTTGCACTCACATGACCCCAGGCCCAACTGGAAGGTCTCCTCCTCTGGGGAGCCCTCCCGGCTTGAATCCTGTTGGAGCACTTGCCACTTCCTACTGACTGCTCTCTGCCTTCCCACTCTCTGAGCCCACTGTGTGCCCAGCACCCGCGCCCAGCAAGGGGCCTGGCATAGAGGAGAGGCTTGGAAACCAACTGGGGAGCCAGGCGGGGAAGCAGACAAGCCATCGGAGCTCAGCTATGAAATGAGCCGGCCCTAAAGTTGGTGGAGAGGGAGCAAGGAGGAAGGGCAGGAGCACGGGGTGCCCAGGGGATCCCAGGAGAGAAAAATGGCCAAGATGACCTTGGCCTGAGCAAGTCATGAATGGAGTGGATTTCTGAGTGAGCACTAAAGGCCGGGTGCTAGCCCGGCGCCTTGGCCTCGGCGCCAACGGCAGAGGCGGGAAGTTGAGAAATAACTCAGCCCGATGTGATGAAGCCAACCACTATCGCGCCCGTCCTGCCAAGCCGGGGCGACTGGCCGATTAGGAGCCGGACCCCTGCGCCCCCAGCCCTGCCCGCGTCAGGCTGCCGCCCCCCAGGCCGGAGGGGAGGGGAGCGGGCCAGGGCGAGCGCGCAGGAGCAGCGCCGGCTCGGTCGGAACGGCCACAGCGCGGCCCCGGGGGCCGGGAAGGCGGCAGCCGAAGGAGCCGGCCCGACGCCGGCGCGGTCGCCCCCGCCCCACGCGAGGAGGCAGCGCGCGACCCCCGCGCAGCGCGTCCCAGGCTCCGCCGCCAGGAGTCCGAGCGCGCCTCTCACCTGCCCGCCTGCGCCCCGCGCGCCCAGGAAGTGCCGGCCTCAGTGGAGCGATGAGGAAACTGCCGGAGGGGGGCAAAGGGGTGGCGGGGAGGAGACGGCGGGGGGAGCTGGGGTTCCTGTCATGTGACCCCTCCCCTCGGCTCCCTCACTGCCCCGCCTGGCGGCGCGGGAGCCGGTCCGAGGAGGGGGCTTCTAAGGGGCCTTGATCTCTTGTCCCCAGGTGAGATGGGTGCAGGGTGGGGGGAGGAGGCGGATCGTGAGGGGGTGGGAGAGAGAATTGCGGCCGAGGGACTGCTGGGGGCCGTGGTGGGAGGGAGGGAGAGCCGCTGCAGAGGGGTCCTTTCGTCCCTTTCCCACGGCTGGGGCTGTGGCCACGCCTCCTCACCTGGGGTCCATGGGGGACCAAGGCAGACCCAGTCCTGGGGGCTGGACCACAACACAGAAGACAGAAGGAGGTCCCAGCACGTCCGGATCCGGGGTGCTGCAGGATGCCCAGTTTTGGTGCAGGGACGTCTCCCCAAAGGGAGATCAGCACGTGGAGAGAGCCGGAATTGTCTCCGGCCAAAGGGTGACGGGAAAGGCCTGCGGCCACAGGTAGCAGGTGAGGGTGTCCTGAAGCAGGCCTTGCCCCGGACCTCCCCCCAAAACCCCCGCGCTTATCTGGGGCCACCCCTGGCCTTGGCTTTGTCTGTGACAGTCCCATCCTTCCGTGCCCTTTGGACCTTTCTCTCCATTTGACAAATGGGGAAACTGAGGCCCCTGGCCCTGTGTTGCTTTAGAGGTGGATGGGGACTGAGCCCAAATCTCCTCCAACAGGATTCTTTGCCTTCAAGTCTGGGCTTGCCAGAGCCAAGAACTTGAGGCTCGCCCAACAGGCGCCCCACATCTCTCCTGGGAAGCGGGGGTCCCAGCCCGGCGCCTGCAACACCACCCCCTGCCCGCCTCCAGAGATGCTGCCCCAGCTGTCGGTATGTTCGGAGCGGGTCTCCGGGGAGCCAGAACCCGAGCCGGTGGGCGAGGAGCTGTGGGAGCAGGAGATGGAGCGGCTCTGCTCCTCGCGGGAGCCCGTGCGGGCGCTGCCCTACGCCATGGTGGACAAGCGCTTCATCCGGTGGGTGCCCGGGGCCCAGGACACGGCCGAGGCCGAGCGGAGCGGTGGGGGTGGGGGAGGCACCGCGAAGAGGCACCTGTTGGGTGGGGGCGTGGAAATCACCCGCAGTGGGAAGACTCCCTCGGCCCATGGCGCAGCTCGGCCTGGCCGAGGGGGCACGGTGGGTGACACAGGGGCGCCTCCATCCCCACCCCACCCCAGGCAGCTGCGGGAGCCCGAGGGGGTGAAGACCTCGTGCTGGCAGCGGTGGCGGCGCCGGCGGCGGACGGCGGGAGGACGCCTGAGGGAGGCGGCGCAGAGGCTGGCCCGGGGCTTTGGGCTCTGGGAGGGGGCTCTCTACGAGATCGGGGGTAGGACCTGCACCCCAACCCCCACCTCCCCTCGCTGCAGTCTCAGTGTCCAGTTAAGAAACGGGAGGAGGGCATCATCCCGCTTGCCATTGTCGGTCTCGGTCCGCACCACCCAACCCCCCATCCTCACACATCCGCCTCTGCTCCTGGACCCACGGCCCAATCTTGGCGGGTGGCAGCACCCCCTGGTGGCCGTCAGAGGTACTGCTGCTGAGGCCTCCCACCGCGGCAACTAAACCGAGGTCCCCGTGAGACTGGTCACCCACAGCCCGTAGCCTTCACATCCCACAGCCCTCGGATTCCTAGCGGGGTCCCTGGCTCGGTGCCTCCCTGACCCACCTGCTGTTCTCCCAATAGGCCTCTTTGGCACCGGAATCCAGTCCTACTTCACCTTCCTTCGCTTCCTGCTGCTGCTCAACCTGCTGACTCTGCTTCTGACCGGTGGCTTCGTCCTGCTGCCCCTGGTCTGGCTGCGCCCCCCTGACCCAGGCCCCCCCCTTAACTTCAGTGAGTGCTTGGCCCACGGAGGGAGTAGTGCCCGGGAGCCCACCTGCACCCTGGGGGCGGGTCCAGGGCTCCGAGTGTTGCCTGACCCTCTGTGTCCTGACCCTGGGCATCCTCCTGCTTGGGTCCCGCCCTGGGACTCTCCCTGCCTGCGCCTTTTGCATGGCACACCTCCTGACATCCCCAGGGCTCTGCTCAGGCCTCCCGGCGGCTGGGGACTCTGGAGCGGGTAGGGGCAGAGCCTCGCCTATGCCTTGGGGACCCTTCTGTATTGGCCCCCTCTCCCTCCTCGACAGCCCTCCAGTGCTCCAGTGGCCACCAGCCCCAGACTGGTGTTCCCAGGTTTCACAATCAACTTTGGAATGT